TTTAGTAAAGTAATGCTTTATTTATTATTAAATTAAAGTATAATAAAATAATTAAAATAATATAAAAAGTTAATTTAAATCATTCTTTATTTAATATAAAAAAATTATTAAAATTTGAATGATTTTTATTATATTAATGTACCAATTTTTTTATATTAGTCATATCTATAATATGATTTAAAAGCTATTGATTTTTCAGTCTTAATATTAATTTCATGTTAAATTATCTTTGTTTTACCTGATTTAACTTCAAATAGATCTTTGTATTCTTCTAATAGTTCATTTAATTATTGCTTTTATTCTATTATTAGATCTATTTCTTTCAGATCTTTTGTTTTATTAGTTTGGTAAAACAGTTCTGATATTAATTTTACTTTTTCATAAAATCAATTATCTTCACTACATTTATAATATTCAGTTGCTAAGTGATTATTAACATGAGAATATTTATCTAAACCAGTAAAGTTCATTCTTCTTTAGCACTTCAAAAGTTGAGTAAAAGAATTTTTCTTCTACAAGCTGTGTGTAATAATTTTTAACTTGAATATTTAGAACTACTGAATGTTTATCTGTAGTTTCTTGAATACTTAGAAAAGGTTGATCTATGCCATCATCTTCCTTATATTCATCTTCACTTTCTAACTGTGTCAAAGGTTTCTTTTCTTTAAATAAACCTACGCTACCAGTTCTTTTATAATGAAATTTCCAGCGATTTTTGATAGTACGTAAATAAAATGAATTAGTGCACATCTTTGATAAAGTATGTGCGGAGCCGATTTAGTTTTCAAGCTACATAATCTATGTTTTCATTGAAACGTGCATATATTGGAGGTCTTCCAAAAGATATTAACGAAAAAGATTTGTCTGAACGGTTTCGTACGTTTGGTGAAGTTACTGAGGTGGAAGTTATCCGACAAGCTAATACTGGTGGGAAGAGTTTTCTTATCTCTGCGAGGACTTGTTATTTTCGAAAAATGTCGCATTTATGGAAGTTGTTATTTGTAGGAGAATGTCGAGGTTTCGCATATGTTACGCTCAAGATTACAGAGAATAGTTGGAAAAAATGTAAGCTAGCTATATGTTAATTTTTTTTATTAATCTTTTTACGGTAAACAATAAAAAATAATTAGTACAATGAATATTTTCTATTAATGTAAATGCATCAAAATTAATAATATCAATAAAAATTAAATTTTTTGAATCAAATTTAATAATATGATAATAATGAAATGATAATGAATGTCAATTTTCCTCAGGCATGAATACATTTAATGGTGCAAAATGGAACGGGATAACACTAAAGATCCAAGAAGCAAAACCTGACTACAAACAAAGGTTTTTGCGAAATGCGTTTTCATTTGAATTGCGATTTTTTTGTTATCAAGTTTTTATTTACTTGTATTTTTTCGTTAATTAAATTGATAGATTAAAACAAGAATGGGAAGCTCAGAAAAAAAATAATGCACAACCATTGCATCCCCCTTCTTCGAAAAAACGTAAGAGGCCTAAAAAAGGCGAGCTGGTCGTCGAGCTATCAAAAAATATGAGTTTGGTAACGAATAGTAATATCAATGAGCGAAAGGTTTGTCTTGCGCTGTTTATCTATATAAAACTATTTATTAATTTGTTTAACCATCATCAGTTAATATTAACTTTTACGTGATAGAGATGGAAACGGATTAATAACGATGGATGCATTGCTACTATTATGCGGATGCGAAGACCAGATGGGAGTATGGTAAATTTATTAATTTAATTGTTTTACAAATCGGTGCTTTTATATTTATATAATCTCGTATATAAGATCACCATAGATCCTTCGAAATACAAAAACAACCATCGAAAGATTTTCAATAATGTTAATGAAGTGAAGCCTAAACCGTTTCACGAATTAATGCTGTATTATAGTAATGGAAAAGAAGCGCGAGAGGAGGAAATTCATTTAGAAGAACAGAGTTATCGTGACGACGTTTCTAGAGAAAAGAAAAAATTACCTACAAGTTTTGATATTCCTGCTGTTCTTAGTAGTTCTGGCAACAATATTATGATTACAACTAAGGACGAGGCGGATGAAAATTATGAGAATTCTTCAACAAAAAAACAACCAGAGAACAATTCATCGAATCCACCATCATTAATTGACGGTCTTCGTAAATTAATGACTGATAAAGAAAAAGAATATAATAGCAGTAATAATATCAATATTATTAACAGTAACGAAAATCAAAGAATTAATAACAATATATCTCATAAAGTAAGTCCTTCTCTGCAAACCAAGTAAATTCACAAACAACCGAATCTGACTTTATTATTTTGATCGACAAAAGGAGCTCTCTAATAAGATTCGTCTTGAAGCTCTGAAAAAACGTGGATTTGAAGAGCGTGAGAAGGCTGCTAAAATTGCGGAGGCATTGCGAAGAAACCCGGAGGTAAAATTATCTAAGGATATAATTATCTCGGTAATAATATTAAAACAAATAATCGTATTTAGGAAAAGAAAAAAGGTCATATAGTGTTCTCTAGTGACGACAATGAGGAAAAAGAGCAAAAAGAGTCACCTTCAAGAAAGAGTTTATTCGATAATGAATCAAATGAAGATGACGATAATGATACCCATTCCTACGAAATTGGTATCATAATAACTTCGATTTTTATATGTTTTGATTATTCATAATTTTTACATTATACTTAAATTTATTTTATTTGTGTTTCATTTCAAGAAATTAATCCAATATTTGAAGGATCATCCGGTCGAAAACTTTTAGATCTGCAAAAAGGGTTTCACGGGGACACTCGCTTTAAATTAACTCGAGAATTTATAAATGACGAAGACGATCAGAATGATCAATATGCCGAGGACGAAAAAGAAAAGCCAGAGACAACACAATTATCAAATGACCATCACAATAATAACTATAAAAAAAATGATGATATTATTTCAACGCTTATTGAAGAAAAATCAAAAAATATGGACATTCTTCATACGATGTTTGAAAATATTGAGATCGAAAAGTTTCAGTTCCAAACGTATATATATATTGTTCCTAACTCTTCTTTACACTTCATTATTAATAATTTTAGTTTTATAATTTTTATAGCAATCATCTAAATAATGAAACGGTATGGAAAGAAATGACCCATTTTGATCCTGATGCGCCCGAGGAGGAAATTCAAAAAGCAAAACGTGTTGAAGATAATAATGGTAATTATCTAAATTCATTGGATATCACGTGAAGATTATGAAATTCTTGATACTTTGCATGTTAATATTCCTCCCTCTTAATTTCAGATGATATTGAGTTCACAAAACCATCGTCAGCTTCTCTGTTATCACCGCCACCGCCACCACCACAAGTCTCGAAGGAAGTAAAAATCGAAATCAACGCAAATTTGAAAGGGATATTTGCGCCAAGTACAACATTAAATGGTGAGACGCTTGATATATAAATTTTAATGAAATGTCTTGTCTAATTTTTGAATTTTTTTTTAATAGTTGTATCTTCTTTTTCGCTCTTTGGAAATAATAACGAGAAAGACAACGGAGAGAGTAAAAATTCTGATCATGAAATGGAAGATGCGATAGAATCTTTTATATCTATAGATGACAATTCAAAACCTTTGTTTTCTTCACTGGTAAGGAGGCTAATTAATATATTAACATCTCAATCTTTTAAATCTATTTAATTATTATGTATGTAAATAAAGGATACCAGACAAACCTCAGCATCTCCCAGATCAGCAAATAAATCCGATTCTTTTACTGCGACTTCTGGTCCTTTATTTTTTTTCCATTTCGGAGATGAAGCACTAGAAAAAAGGTGAGTATAATCTGTATTATACTTTACTCTATTTATTTATTAACACTTCATCTTTTCTAAATTATTATAGATCACATTTTCAAGAATTAAATACGTTTATGAGAACCACATCTATGTAAGTAACTATTCATCGTATTTCATTTTCTGATTTGCTTATTTTTGGAAATATATATATATGTAAAACAAAATACAGGGAGGAAATTATAAAAAATTGGGAAAGCACGCGACAAGGTTTAACTCATGAATTTAAACGGAAGCATAAATCTGTATCACGGAAACGACGAAAGATGCAACGCAAAATGAATCAGAACTAGCAAAATAGATTGAAAATCTGATGAAAATTTTCATGTGAAGACATTTTTCACAGCGAGAGTTCAAGGCTAATATTTAGATGTAAAGAGTAATTGCCAAGCTATATAATGAAAGAAGGATTGAGAAAAATTGATTCAGAAAAACCACAGCGTATTAATGATTGAGCAAATATTATAAATCTTTATTCTTTGATAAATGTGTAAACAAAAGCCTTCTATATCACATGCGCATGCATACAAAAATTGGAGTATAATGACACGTTGTCTTCGTTGTTGCCATCAAAAATAATAATTTTGAAAAATTCTTTGTCAGTTTCCTTGTTGTTGATACTTGTATATAGGATTATTATTTAGGTGTTCGCTTGGCTCATGTATATAAATAAAAAACTCAGCAGAGACCTCAACCGCGAACCATTAACCGCGAAACCCTTTTCGTTTTCTCTTATCAAATAAGTTAATATTTATAATTGACAGATTAATAACTTGCAATATTTCAGAACATAATACGTGAGAAGTTGTTATTTCAATAATATGCCGCCTTCTTCCCGAGAACACCAATTCGAAGAAAAGACCTTTACGAAACCCACGCAATGCGACTGCTGTAATAAAATGCTTTGGGGTCTAATCAAGCAAGGAGTTTGCTGTAAAGGTAAAAATACTTGAAAGAACAAAAAATGAGCTTGAGTTCTTGTACTTATTAATTTTTTTGCTGTAAATATATAGTATGTGGATACGTGTGTCATGCAAAGTGCTCAGAGAGTTCGGTTTACTGTGGCGCATCAGAAACTTCAAATTCTTCAAAGCACTCCAGAAAAAATAATAATAATGAGTCGTCATCATCAATAGAATTAGGTGCAGATCGAACAAGTGGTGAAACTGCAGAATACGATGGCAGTGTTGATGATGTTGGAAATACGCGTTCCTCTTCAAAATCATTGTATATTCCATCTCAATCACGATCAAGAAGCTCAAATTCGAATTATTTATCTGGATCATTACCAAATACACGTACTATATCCTTTCGAAACTTTGATTTAGATTCGATACCTCCACCAAAACCTGAGCCAAAGGCACCATTACCACCAAAACCTATTTTACGTCGATCTAGCTCTGTTGACTCACTTCCCGATAATATCAAATCCCCATCCAATGAAAACAAAGCAGATAGACCAATAGCCTCATTAAGGAATAATAACAATAATCAAACTATCACAGCTATAATGAACTCTAATTTAGTACCAAAAAACACCGAGCCACTTGTGTCTTTTGGGTCTAAAATAATTCAAGATCTGATAGTTTCTTCGGCCATTAATATGACCAATGCATCCAAATTAACATCAGATTCTTCTCACCCGCCATTAAATCTTCAAACCACTACAATAAATTTTAAAAAATTTGTGCAAAAATGTGGATTCATTTTTGCTATTCAAGATGCTGTTGAGGATCTTGTTACGTGGAAGAATTCTGCAAATACATTGTTGGCAATGGTAGTTTACATTTATTTGTGTAAGTTAATGTAGTCAATTACCACGATATTTATTTCTTGATTGAATTTGGAAGATTACTAATTTCGATAATTTACATATTTCTATAGGTCTCTATCCTCATCTCATTATTCTTATACCGCTTGTCATCGTATTGTCTGTATTGATTACCTTTTACAATAAAAGATTTCCTGAAGGTCCAATAAATCAAATACGGAACCGAAAAAAATCAAAAAAGGATAAAAAATCAAAGCGAGCTGTGCCAGCACTTCCCGACGAGAATTCCGTCGACTACTTAAAGAACATGCAGAATATACAGAATTTGATGGGAATTGTGTCGGACGGATATGATTCTGTTATACCGTTGTTTAAACATCTAGACTGGAGCAATGAGCAAGAGAGTCTACGAATTACACAAATTGTTGTTCTAATGTTGGCTCTTTTAACTGCCACGGTATGGTTTGTGCCATGGCGTAAGGTGTTTATTGTGGCTGGGCTAAGTGTGTTTATTTTGAACAATAAATTCGTCAAAGCCTTGATAAATGAGTCAAGTCCTTTACTTATGGAACATGGAAAGAGATTTATGGATCAGTGGAAAGAATTCTTTTCGTCGGAAGATGAAGATGAAGAGTCTGAGCAAGATGAAATTATAGTGTCTGTTTATGAAAATCAGCGATGGTGGTGAGTATTTTTATCTATTATTCTTTAAACTTATTCAGATATTAAGATATATAATTCTCAAAATAGGGCTGGAACAGGATTTGGTCCACAATTACTTCGCTCAGAAAGAGCACCATGGTCATCAATGTCTGGAGCTACTGAGCTACCACCGAAAGATGTAAGCGTTACTTAATGATCCCAGTTATTAAAAATTAGAAGAATGACATATCGACTTTTATCATTATACAGGAAATTGTGCCTCCCGAAGGATATGAATGGGCTGGAGAAGATTGGAGTGTCGACATGAATAATGTATGGGAGGATGAGAAAGGGGCAGAGTTATCAGTGGAGCCAGATGAAGGCGGATGGGTTTATACGGACCCTCAATGGGAAAATCCTGAACCGAAAAGCATTTCAGGAAACAAAGTTTTAACTCGTCGACGAAAATGGATCAGAAAAGCGAAAAAAATTGGTACTGATATAGGGGGAAACGGTGTTATTCTTGATGCAAATAATCCAACAGATGTGATATTGTCGACGGGTGGAAATCAAAATAATTCCTCATTACATAGACGGAAAACTCACAACTAATTGATTGATGAAACTTTTTCATTTAATATAATAATATAATAAATCATATTCAGACAATTCTCGCCATATTTTGTACATTATATGAGCGATAAAATTGAGAACAAATAGTTCATTCATTGAATGGAAACCATGAGAACACTCGATGGAACTGAGATATATATAATAAATATTCGGTCAACTTATGTGTGAAATCCAATTCTTGTAAGATGATTAGATACTTGCCTAAATCTGATAAGAATAATATAAAAAAAACATCAATATTATTTCAGATGAGAAAAGAATATTAAATTTTATAAAAAAAAAAGAAAAAATACAAACCAAGTTCCTTCAGGGTCTTATTCTCATAAGTATCACGATCAAGCACTTTCCTTTTTTTATTATAACAAGATTAAGTTAATTTCAAAAAAATACTTTTTTTAATTATAAGTGTAATCAACACTCGTGTCATACCTGGGGAAAGTAGTTATTAATTTGAAAGGCTCAGAAACATGCTGTCCAACATACTCATAAACAGCTTGAAGTGTATCTGTTGTTTTGAATGTTTGAATAATTGTTGCACCACCATCTTGCCTACGTATCTGTCATTTTCTTCTTTATTAGGAATCATTACGAATAACGCTAAGAAAATAATATTATATTAGTTAAAGTTACTTGTAGCCTTGTTTCGGTGTATTCTTTTTTCACAGTAGGAGTTGAGCTCGAAGCTTCTGCAGCTGCTGCTTCTTGTTGTTGAAGATTTGCTTGTAGTTTAGCAGCCTCACGCTATGAATTATAAAATATCAATTTACGACACTTCAATGAAATGATATTAAATCATAATAATTCAAATACCTTTGCAGCTCTTTCTTTTTTATCCGCCTCAATCTGAGCTTTTATTTTCGCCTTTGCTAATCTTTCTTCTTCTTTCTCCTTCTTCTTTGCAATCAACGCCTTCTGTAATTCCTTCTCCTCTAATTTTTCTTTAAGCTCCACCAACTCTTTGCCTGATGTCCTACGAACCTTTTCGCGATTTTTTTCCTCTTCTTGCTCGGCAAGTAATCGCATCGCCCGTTTTTCGGCAAGTCGTTTTTTCAGTTCGGCCAATTTTGCGGCTTTCTCTTCTTCCGTTAGAGGTTTTATGGCCGTTGTTGATTCGGAGAAATTGACATGCCCTGTTCTTATGGCGTGTCTCTCTGCAGCGGTGGCTATTCAATTGAACAAGAAAAAAATGCATCGATTACAGATTAAAGGAGATTTGATCAAATCATAATTTTACCGTCACGTAATAGTATCTGGCAATCGTTGCATTGTAATGACTGCGCAGTCTGTTCACCATCTTGAATTTCATCTCCTAATTACAGGATAAGGCTTAATTTATTGGTTGACAACTACCAAAAGAAAGTGTGTATATATGCCTTTAAAATAATGAGCGCACCGTCCTGTATTTCCCCTCCTTCAGACGAACTTGTGGCCACTGTTTGTGAGCTTCCAAGAGCTTGTGCAGGTGCTGGCTCTTCCAAATCTCCCGGGTGAGCAATCAGCCAGTCCATGGCTTGCTGAAGTCCCCCCGTTTCTTTTAAAGCTCTTGCTCTACATTGAAAAAATAGGAAAAAAATGAAATAAACCTGTTTTTGGAACTTGTATACGCTACTTTACTAACACTTTTTCAGGTGGAAAGCCCATTTCTATTAGAGTATCGTGATCTGTTCGCGTAGCCATTATGTAAGATTAAGTTTAAAAGTGGGGAATATAAAATATTCCGCGTTCCCCGGTAGACCTTTACCATATATATATATGTTTGGATGAAGCTTAATACGTGGATATTGAATGAACCAATTATTTTCGGTGATCCAATTTTTCAATAACGTTATTTTTGCGTTCGTTGTACATCATTCTTATCATTCTTGCCTTTTGTATCAATATTAATAGATTTTTTTTGGCTTTATTCCCTCTTTATTCTTTCCTTCTAAGCCATATATAAGCTTGTCGCATCTCCAACAACGGTGCTAACAACAAAAATTACTTTGAAGCTAGAAAACTGTTACAACAATCAGTGCGCGCGATTTTTATAAATATTTCTCATACTCTTCAATCTAAAAATCATTTTCGTTATATACTATCTATAAATAATTATTCACGCAATATTTCTTTAACTGATTATACAGTATTCTCTCTTCAACATATATATAAAATACTTCAAGACAAGTATAAATACAAATAACAAGCGGAACTAAGAAAAAATGACTTGTTCTGGAGTGCGTCAACGTTGGATTAAACATGCCAAGCTCATAAGTAGTTGTTATCCAACTGCACCCGGAGAGACAGGACCGAAGAAAAATGAGCTAGCATTACTAGTCTTTTACGCAAAATCTAAGCCGGCAAAACTTACAAAATGTGGTTTTTATCTGGAAAGAAGGGTGGCCGCCGATGTCCGAAAGCGGAAGAAGCAGTATGCTATATACCATTTTTTTTTTTACCTCTATTTTTTTGTTTGATTAGATATTTAAATGTGTAATGTGAAGATCTTTATAATATATCTTAGTTTTAAACATCTATCTTAATTTCTCCACAAAAGAGACACTGAAGTTTCCCTAGCGATAGTCAAGGCGCTCCTAAATAACTGTAATAGAGATATCAATTTTTTCTCTCAAAATATTCTTCAGATTATTGATGACTGCTTGGGAACAGAAGATATTGATTTGGTGTCTCGTGCTACTGCCTTGGTGCGTATTTTTATGCGATTAATTAGTTTACAATCTATTTCAGCATATATGGAAATTAACGTTTTTTTTGATCGGATTATATATATACACATATAGTTTCTCACTTTTTGCAAATATCATGACGGTTCTACTCTTGGAATTGATAATGAATTCACTGCGCTTTATGAAAACTTGATCGATAAGTTTGCTAAATTTTCTATGTATAAACATGATACAAACGTTATTCTCGAACAAAAGTAGGTTTGCATTATTTCATTAATTATTTGTGTAAAATTCAGTATAGTATATAGACATATTAATATTCATCATTTGCGAATTACATGAAACAGATATCGATCATTTGGTCTTAATGCTATTCATGCGGTGGTATCATCTGAAGCTTTATATGGATCCGATTCTAAACAACAATTAAAATTCATTATCCCTGCAATATTAAGTAATCTTATTGATTCAGAAATTGCCCTAGAAGATCTGAAAAAAAAGTTAATATTTTTTATCAAACCACCGTTCGTTTCGATATTAATGACTCGCATGTTTAACAAATATGCTATACTTTAGTGATTCCGATTCCCTTGTTGAAGAAGATTCTACTCTGCAATCTCGTCGTTTTTCACTTGATGTCGAAAACGTGTCAAAAGAGGAGAACACGCGTTTAGCATTTCATTCTTTGAAACAGGTGTTCAAATCGGCGGACCAAACCAATATTAACTGGTCGATTAAACCAACTTTTGATTTCTTGGAAGAAAATAATTTATGGTGGCCAAACTCATTTGGCACTACTCTGGTATCGATTATACTATCAACATTCCAGGTAAAGTTAATTGAAAAATATTAAAGATCATTTTCCATTATTTTAATATGATCAAACTGTAATTTTTATCCGCGTTGTCGTTGTAGGCCCAAGATAGATTCTTGCTTGTGACTTATATAATACAGCAATTAGAATCGATACCCAAAGACTCTAGTTCAGCAACCGCAAAACAAGCCACTCTTGTAGAAATGTTAAATTTTATCTTAAATAGTGACTTGAATCTTGACAATCTGTCGATCGGCGATGTTCTCGAAGATTTACTCGATCTTTCGTTGAAATTTTTAAGGATGAGCACTGGCGAAAAGCATTCAAATGGGAATCTAGGCGAGAAAATGAGTGATGAATCAAATAATGAAAATCTAAATCATAAAATATTGAATGGGCTTATAAAGTCAATAGGTAAGAAATTATTCTGATGCGTATTTTGAAAACTTTTGAATAAACCTTGTTTTGCTGCTATAGGTGGACTTGCAACCCACATCTATTACGGAACTCAAATTAAGGATATCATGGATCGCATAATCCAATTCATGCGGCTACGCTCGACAAGTGATACATCAATACGTCGCAGCAGCGAAACTATCTTATTCGATGAAGTTTCACCTACAGAAGCTCGTCTGCTGTTAATACGATGCCTGGATATGGTAATAGAAACTAATAGAGAAGCTGCACAGAGATTCCCAAATATATCAAGGTACCAAGTCCCTGTTGAAATATTTCAAGATACGGTGGAACTATGTTTGGATCCCGAGCATGGTATGTTTTTATTTGCTATAATTTATTATATTTATTAACTCTCTTATTAACAAAAATATTTAATTAAATTCAGAATTGAGAATCGCATATAGTAACGTTTTGACTAAATTCCTGGAATATAATCTACCAGAAGAGACAAAGGAAAACGTTTGTATTTATAATTACTCGCTTCTTACGTAAACCAAAATGAAAAAATCATTGTGATAATAATAGCAATATTATTTTTTCAGTTAATCACACACGACGTGCCATCTTTGCATTTTCTCAACTCGCTTCATTTGTCTCTATATCAATATGCTCTTTCGTCTAAAGCACAACCTTCTGATCACGTTGCTATTTCTGAAATACTTCACTCTATTCTGAACTTCTTTAAGTATGATCAAATAATTAGGGGTGTACCGGTTCTCTTTAAATTACAGGTATCATCAATCATATTATCCTGTCAGTACAAGAGCAGCATTATTCATATTTATTCAATTAATTGACATTGGTATTTTAGGCAGATCTAAAAGAAGAGAAATTGGAAAATTTTGCCCGACAACGGTCGATGGCAAGTGTCATCGTACGCTACTTTTATGATATTTCCAAACTTTTCGGGATCACTGAGTTACAGCAATACATTGAGGATGTGATACAGGAGCGCACAATGAAATGTCAATTGTCTCGTTATATTCAACCTTTATCATCGTTTTCCCCAGACATCAAAACCGATCTTACTGCTTCGTTTGACGAAGAAGTAAATGAAGAAACCGTAAACAATAATGAAAATGGTCCACTTCAACCGGTAGATGTTTGGCTCGATCGACAATCCATAGTATCGGTTTTATGCCAGCACCCAAAACTAAAAAATGCCGTAGGGTCTGATCTAGAATTCAGATTGATGGCCGAATGGAAGCCCGAAGAAGGATTTGAACAAGTGAAAAATGATGAGTATCGTATAAGAGTATCACGACTTCTAGATGGTCATAAACCGTCGCTGAGTACTCCTATTATCATGACTTTTGAAGATAGTTCTACAGAATTTCCAAAACCTGTAATAAAAGTTGAACAACTACGGGATGCACTTGGTAATCTTTATGATTATATGGTCCTTGATTTACACATTTCGAATGATGACAAGTAAAGCTTACATTATTTTTTATTCATTAAAGCAGTGTCACAGACGATAAATGACTCTTCAGAACATGATACCTCCGTAGCTTCAGATCTGGAATCTGTCTCTATGGTGTCACTGGGTGGTAATACTGGCAAGAAGAAGAAAAAATCTAAATCGAAAGAGGTGAATGCTTTTCTAAGCACTATTGATGTGAAATCTGCGAGGTTTGTTGAGATGTATGTTATGGTGGTTTTCTGTGAATAGACCAATACAATAATACTAATGTTTTATTTGATGTTTTATTTGAAATTTTTTTTATAGTACGAGTAGTTTGGTCAATCCTCCTTATCGAATTTCATAATGTTATCTCGCTGGTTGATCAACTGAATTTTTCAACTATAGACACTCCTTACTTTTTTGTATTTAATTTTGAGATCATAATTTAATAGAAGATATTATCTTATTAGCCCAATTTTGATTAATAGATTCATTTTACTAACATTATCATTAATATTAACCCAATTTTAATTAATAGATTTATTTTTTTTATTTGTTTTGTTTGTATAGAAAAAAATAAGGTACAAAATGAAAACAAGTAATAAAAATTTGATTGATAGAGACAAAGCACATTATAAATAATAGAATAGTCGCAGGTACTTTTTATTATCATGTAAGAAATGCAAATATGTACATAACCCATAATTTTTATTCGATTTTTTGCGACGCCCCACGCATAGCCGCCGTCGACAAACACTGATTGACCACCTCCAATAAATGTGCGTTCTCTAAGGCAGCAGCCACCCTCTCTTTATCATTAAGCTGTTTATTAACTAAAAAGCCCAAATTCGTCATCAAAAAATGATTATAAGCTCTCTCCAATACAATAAATATAAACACTAACCAGCTATTTCCGATTGATGTGTCCCCTTCCTCACACTAATATCCACTTTAAACCGTTCCGGCAAACTACGCAATAATCTAACCCGAATACACAAGCCAATCAGCGTGGCCATAGAACAGTGAGGAATCGTCGGTGTGAACTCGATGAAAACATGGTTGTTTGCGTCGTCGACTGTGACGTGCTCAAGTTGGGTAACGTTCAACTGTTCAAGTGTTAGCGGGTGTTCTGGGTCTGATATTGAGCGGATTAGATCTTTTTTGAAATATTATATGTTAGAAGCAACTTGTGAAAGGATAAAGCTTGTTAAAGAAGAGACCACAGAATGATTTTATAGTGCCAAGCTACCAAATACTTCTTGAGAGTCAATTATATCTTCAATATCTTCGTTTACTTCGTCTTTTGTCTCTATCCGATGAGAAGACTTGGAAGGGGTGTATATTGTTGGATTAGCGTTTATTAATTCTGGCATTTTTCCAATTCTCCAAATATCAAAAAGTATCTTAAATAATTGAATTCTTTCAAAAAATTTTTATTAATTTATATAAATTAGCAATCTACTCTAACGGCCGTGTTATTTAGGGCTCGTCTAAAGCGGGGCAAATCACGTGAATAAATAATGATTGGTTAGAACATGCGAACGATGATTAGCCAGAAAATGTAATCAAATAATTCTTACTATTGGGAAAAAGTGACGACGTTTAATGTCAATACAAGATAAGAATTTTTGCATGAATTTAGGAGTTTTATTTATCATTATAAATACATGTAATATGATAAATTTTTTAATATAATATATCAATTTTTAAAACTTATTTAAGACTTGGTAATGATGAAGGAAAGTATTATTATAATCTGTATTTTTATTATTAACTAAATACTAATAATTTTAATTTTTTTCTTTTGTTTGATCAAATTGCAAGATAATTGGATTCAAAAAGGCTTCTAACATAGAGATAAAAGCCATCATCCTCTCAACATTATCTATCTCTTCAATATTTCAGTATCTATTATGCATTCTTTTAGTTAATTTAATTATAACAAGTCTTTGATCTTTAGTCTTTTTTTGTTGTTTCATTTATACATATTTAATAAATGATTCACAACTAGAGATATCATCTTAATTAATTGCAACTTGTGATAGTTAATTAGAGAATTATGATCAATTATGACAGCTAATCAGAGAATTATGATTAAATTAAAAATATTATCTTAATTAATTATGATTTGTGATAGTTAATTAAAGAATTGTAATTAATTATAATATAATTATTAGAGAAAAACTAGTATTCTTCCTGTAGATACGTCTTTTATTTCCTATAGTGTTGATATTAGTACAGATAACATGATTGAAGATATATAGTATTATATTACTTAACTAGAGATAAATGAGTCATTGTTGGCTACTGAATATATATTTGTATTAATGAATAATTACCTATTGAATATTTTACTAATGATAATATTATTATAACTATACAAAATATCAAAAAAGATGAAGAAAACAAAGAAAATAAAGAAAAAAGTGATAAGAAATATGAATCATAGCCTATGATTTATTAAAAATAGCTTTAATAAGTATGGATAACCTAATGTGATTTGTCAATAATTTGTCTAGTAGCTTCATCTTTAATAAGAAAGCATTATCAATTTTGCATTTATTAAAATCAGAAATTTCATGCTGCCAAACAGATAGATTAAGTCAATCACAAATTGATAATTTTATTAATAATAGCATATAATAAATTTGTTATTATATTCACAGTTTCTTAATTTATTATATTAATATATAATTATTTACCAATCAAATATAATAATTTTTCAAAACTGATATTACATTTCTATATTAGTTTTTTGAAATTTATTTGCAAAACTGATATTTTGCAAAACTGATAAAAAAGATGAAAACACTGCTATCAGTTTTTCAAGCTTTGACTATAACAAAGTAACTTATAATATATTTAATTTGTAAGTTAAATCAAGTAAAATAATTCTTCATATAAAATTGATTTAGTCTTAGATAGATTCAAGATGGCTAGTTATATCTTATATTTTAAATGTAATATAAATAATTTCTGATTTATTATCTACTTAAAATATAATATAGCATTATAATTAATATAAACAAGAAATAAGATTATATTATAATAATTTAAATAATAATAATAATAATATATAATTTTAATAATATATAAAAATAATGATAATATATAAATTTAATAATACTTAAAGATATTATGAAAATAATAATAAAATATAATTATAATTTATAAATAATAATAAGGCTTTATATAATTTAAATTTGAAATGTGATATTACAAGAATTTTTATCACACTTACATGATAAAAAATCACGTGCCGGAAAATCACATGGTCCTTTCTTTAACTATGAAACTCATAATTTTATTTTTTGATTGATTTACCTTTAAAAATCACATGATCAACACTTTTTCGCACTATGCCGCAAACAGTCTCATACTTTTTGTTCATTTTTTAAAACAAACAAGTTATAGTCTGAAGAGACTTACTACAATTATTTTGAAATTTCTTAATCATTTCAATAAGAATGTTACCTATAGAGTTTCTGAAAAAGGAGTCAGATTATCATGAAATTTGCAGATGTATTATCAATAAGTATCTTGAGGCAGTTTATTAAAGACAAAAAATTAGTCAATTGCAATAAGCTTAGATTTTCAATTTTTTAAACTTATAATAAGGGAGCGACTCGCATAATACGCAGTAATACTAGTAATACTTGTATCACGCAATATTAAGGATAAAAGAAATCTGAATGATAATAAAAAAATATTAAATTGAGAAAATCAGGCATTTTTATACAGAAGAAATGTTATTAAATAAAAATAATTTATCTACAATGAAAGAAGCATAAATAACATAGCTCGATTGTAAAACACATTCGATAATTTTCTTTTGCATATTAATTTGTCTATAATTTCTCATAAATTACTTCATCAAATAATCACCATTGCAATCTTACGATGATGCTACTACTTTGGTCGTAATGATTTGTGGAACTGGAAGTTTGCATAGTTCTATGAATGATAATAAAGTGAAATGTGCATCGTTTCCTTTTTCAACCGAAATAATTTAAATAATCGATGTTATTATAATGCTAAATTTTAATCTGAACAACTCATTATCCTCTTTACTCACCTGCATTATGCAAACAATAATTCTCAACATTCAATGCATCTGCCAAATTACCCAGACTAACTCTATCGTGTGCCTTTCCTTCTCTTGCGGCATACATTATAGCAGTATCAAATTTCACTAGATTTTCAAGCGCATTCTTCATATGCTTACCCATACCTTCAAAGTACTTCACATCAATATTGACATCATGTCCAACAAGCACCGTAACCTTATCATCACTTTCATCATCCGGTGTAATATCCCTCAGAAATTCTTCTGAAATCTCTGCCAAACTTGCCCAAACAGTTTTTCCAAACATGAAACGATCTTTCATATCCGCCAGATATTGTCCATTCTTTAAGTGACGATATTCTTTCACGCAAAAATGACGATCCATAAAAATATCTTTTCGCGAATCATATATACTCCATCCCACCTCGAGAAGGCATGAATGATCCTTTTCATAACTTTCCACGTCAATCGCCACGAAATAATATACTTTCTCTTCGTACATTTGTCGCGCCCTCGCTAGTTCTTTAAGATTATTCAAGAGTTTGGCTTTGGTGACTGCCTCTTTGTTGAATTTTTTTATATCTTTTTCGATTTTATCATAATCCACCGCATTTTCAATGTAGAATGCTTCTAAATCGGTGTATACAATATCTTGCGCCTCCGGAAAGAAAGAGAGTTTTGTTGATAGATGCGCTTCCAAATCGGTTCGGATTTCTCTAAAACCTCGCTCAGAAATCAACAAATATTTTTTACCATCGTTTGGATTAATGCCTTTTTTATTTTGTAATTTTTACAATTAGAAATGATATAAAATTTAAATATTAAATGAATTTATTTTACATACCAATGAAAAACTCATTCTTTGTATCCCTATCAAAAAAACTATTTGGTTTAAAGAAATGGGATATGAGTTTTGACTGCGCTTCGCTTTTGGTCCATTTATTCGCTCTGGTGATATAACTGTAATGGAAGTAAACTTCACCCGACATTATTTGACAAAAGAGTTAAAAGTTTGATGATGAAAATGCAATCAAACTATTAATATTGGCAGGCACGTGGTCATTGAGGAGCTTTTAATTTAATTCTATCGCTATATTTACGCTATTCTGATTCTTTAAACTCTAGATTCTAGTCGCGCAAACTTTCTAAAGCTGCGAACCTACACTTTAGATCTACAGTAAATGTAAAGAAATCTTCAAACATGGATTATCTCAAAATTACAAAGGTATAATAATAATAAATAATAATGACTAAAATGAACAAAGATTCTAATATAATTCTTAAGTGAAATATCTTGGCACGTTTATAAACGAACTAATATTTATTATTTCTATCATTTGAAGGTTGAAAATGTATTGCTGGAAAAAAGAAGAATGACGCTAATCGGTACCCTTCACCTCACAACTCACCAACTAATCTTTAGACATCCGCAAGAAGAGATGTGGGTAAGTAACGAAGCAAATGGTTAATTGCATTAGGCATTTATGGGAAAGCTTATGCAATTTCCTTTATATTTTAAGTAAAATAGGGAAAATTTTCCCAATATTAACTAATATGCGCCAAATTCCTGAATTTGCTCCCACAAAAAGTACTCAAACATTACATTTATTTATAGATATTATATCCGACAATTCATACAGTAGAACGTAGACCTCTGGCATCTAATGGACTTTGGCCTTTACTGATCAAGTGTCGTGATTTTGTATTTGTTACTATATCTGTGCCAAGTGAACGTGAAGCAATAGATGTATTTGAGAGTATACAGAAATTGACCTGCATTAGTATGTGAAAAATTATTCATAATTCTTTTTTAACTTGCATTTTATTATTATTAACAATCTTATTTGCTACACGATTTCTTATTTCAATTAAATGAAATTGATTTGTGTCCGGAGAAGGTTCTATAGAGCAACTTTATGCTTTCTTCTATAAACCTCCATCACTAACTGCAAATGATGGCTGGCATATCTATGATCCCCTGGTGGAATTTGATCGTATGGGAGTTGGCAGTAAAACTCGCGCATGGAGAATATCGTACAAGAATAAATCATACGAAGTAATCATTTTTATCTTGATTCGAATTGACGAATTGTCACTCAACTCTTATTGTGTCATTTTTCTTTTAGCTTTGTCCAACATATCCACGGATATTGGTAGTTCCTGATAAAATTCTGGACAGTGTATTAACACACGCTTGCAAATTTCGTAGTAAATGCCGGATACCTACCTTAAGTTACTTGCATTGGTCAAATATGGTAAGCATTTTATATGTCAATTTAAAAAGGATGTTGATCTCTAATGATATCAATATTACCTTAGGCTTCTATAACGCGTTCTAGTCAACCTATGGTTGGCCTTAAACAAAATAGATCCTTACAAGACGAAAAAATTATCGAAGCTATTTTCCAATCTACTGCCCTTCCCCCTACACCCTCCGGTCAACCGGTCTATGGTTCGACAGCAACTAATTTGATTATAGACGCTCGGCCTACTGCTAACGCCATGGCAAATGTGGCAATGGGGGCAGGGACTGAAAATATGGACAATTACAAAAATTGTTCAAAACAATATATGGGAATTGATAATATTCATGTTATGAGAGAAAGTTTAGGAAAATTAGTGGAAGGTCAGTAAATATCGCGACAAGCAATAACCATAACATGACAAATTGATACTCTAACCTGAATTACGTGTGATTTTAATAGTAATTCAAAATGCAGATGTTCAAGGTTTGCCTATAAAAAAGCATCACCTTGACAAGTCAAATTGGCTAAAACATATTAGCAGTCTTCTGGAATCTTCGCTTGTCATTATCAAAAATATTCATGTGAACAGTTCACACGTTTTGATTCATTGCTCGGATGGCTGGGATCGCACTGCTCAGCTGACATCAATATCAGAATTATGTCTGGATCCGTACTATCGTACCTTGCGTGGTTTTGAAGTATTGATCGAGAAAGATTGGTTATCATTTGGTCACAAATTTAGCGATCGTTCAGGGCATCTATCAAATGAACGATACTTTATTACTTCAAGTACAAATGCGGCAAACAATGCCTTTAATTCGATGCAAAATAAATTGAAGCAATCACATGTTCGCGAAATATCACCGGTTTTTCATCAATTTTTGGATTGTGTTTTTCAAATTCTCGCTCAGTACCCTGAAAGATTCGAATTCAATGAACATTTTCTAGTCACGTTGCATTTTCATTTATACTCTTGCCAGTACGGAACTTTTCTTTTCAATTCAGAAAAGGAAAGAAATGATTACAAAGTCATGACTTCGACATATTCTGTTTGGGACTACATTAATTCAAATAAAGAACAATTTTTGAATCCTTCCTATGATTATGGAGCCAGAGACCGGGAAGAGATGGGTGATAAGGGAGTACTTTTCCCGGAATCGGATTGGAAGAAACTTAAATATTGGGCTTCACTTTTTGATAAGCGAGATGAGGAACTAAACGGGGAAGAAATGGTTGAAGAAGCAAGTCCAATAATGGCCAGGTCACTATGGGGGTCCGATAGCCCTGTCCAGAGATCAAGCTCACCGATAGGGATTTCCAATGGAATTCCTTGGAATGATGAACAATCACAAACAATAACTTCACGTATCTCAAAAAATTTAAATCTAGATATAGAAGATCCGTGGCGTGATAACAATACTCACGAAAACGACGAATTAATTTATGATGAACCAGTCAAATCATTGCATCATAAAGAAAGTAGCAACGAATTAAACGCAATGGTGCAAAACTTTGCAAGAATAACACTTAATTTGGGAGTACAAGCTGTTTCAAATGTAGCTAATATATTGGATGCTGCCAGTGGGAATCTTAATAATAATACAAATGATAATTCAAACGATTTTGATCCTCAATCATCTCTTGAGAATCACGAGAGCAGGTTTGCTATGAAATCAGTAAAATTTATGACACTAATTTTGTGTTTTTTTTTTGCATTTGAATCTAAATTGTTAATTTATTTTTTTTTAATCAAGATCTGGCCTCCGTGAAATGGTGTCATTTTCTAATAAAACAAATAGCATAACAAATAGTCCTCCATCAAAATCCAACCCATTTTCATCTTTAAAATCTTGGAACACTCTTTCAGCAAGTATAGGATTTCCAACTACATCTCTCAAATCTCGAGAAAACAAGAGGAATACATTCCCAACGTCAGAAATCGCAGATTCTGCTACTACCACTCCACCAATTTCGCCACGGACCGAACCTCATCCATTATTTTTGTATGATTCATGATAATATTGTCGTGTGAGGGACATGAGATTATTCTGCCAACGCCACAGTTTCATAAATCATAATTATTTATGTTATTATTAGAAGAATGATGACAACGCGATTACGATGAGTTTATTGTACGCGTTTTTATTCATCATGTAGAAGTAAATGTACACTTATATATATTTTATATATATACACACCCCTAATATTTATTTAAAGAAATATAAATTTAAATATATATTACAATTCTTCTAGGCATGCTTTCTATTAAATTAATATAATTTGAGGCTACTTCCTTTTAATGCAATTCAACATTTTTGGTTACATTGAGAAATTTTTTGCTTAAAACAAAAAAGACAATTTCTGGATTGTTCTGGTAGATTTCCTAATTAATGAAAATTTTTAAGTCTCAACTTCTTGTTAATTATATAATTTGATACAACCTATCGACACTTTTAAATATCACATGATTTATTTAGGAAAACTCGTATGAATATTTTCAAAAAAAAATGCCTAAAAAAAGTCAACATAAAAAGAAATTAAAGCAGGAGGACTTTAAGGTAATTTTATCCGAAAATCATTCACTAAATCGATAATGTGAATATAATCTTTTTTCCAATGATTTAGAAAACAAAACTTAAAGTTGGCAAAAAGAAATTACCTGCCACTAACTTGACAAATGTCTCATTTAAATCACAAAGTAGTTAATCAATATGATTCTTATGACTTTTTAGTGATAAAGATAAAAATTAAAAATTTTCAATACTTTGATTTTCTATAGCAATCATTCTGCCTAATCAAAGTATTACAGAAGATAAATCAAGCGAATTGACTAATTCGAGAAGATTAACTTTAAATGATTTATTGATTCAATTAAGACATTATAACCCTGGATCACGAAGGGGTTTGTAAATTAATCTTGATTAATTATAATAAAAGGCGTCGATTTTATATACTTAATTTATGAATAATCTCATTTTATCCGATTAGATGCTATACAGGGTCTCGCTGATTATTTTCACCGATATCCTTTTATGCTTCCAAGATCATTGAGTAACGTGATAAATGCTACTGTTCGTCTCCTAGTTGATGAAGTGGGTAAAAATCATATTCACAATTGAAAAAATTGTAAAACTGTTGCTCTAAAGCTCGTCATTATTTAATAGGATATAAGTGTAAGAAAATCACTCTTTTCTTTCTTTCAAGAGTTTCTACCGGCTCTGAATAAGGTAAATGCAAACTAAAAAAAAATCATTATTCTATATTGAATTGAATCGCATTTTTATGCTGATATTGGTTACAAAAATATTTGGCATACAGATGGATTTAATACCATTTCTTCCACTTCTTATTATATATACGTGTTCTGGGATGACTCATATTTATGAAGATATAAGAATTGATGCTCTCAAATTTATGAATATTTGGTTATCAATTGCGCCAGAAGTAGTAGTAAATGGATTTTGGGATAAGGTGAAATATATATATTATTAATTTGTAGATTAAATTATTATTTATTGAATATATTAAATTTTCCTTTATTTAGATTCTTCCGAACTATATTAGCTTTTTGACATCAAATCCAAATGTAACGGAATTTTCAAATTCATCTTTTTCAGGTACTGAAAAAACTTAACGCAAAGTTTGTATATATTGTTATGTAATAAATCTTCAGCGATTATTATTCCTTTAACAAATTCATCATCACTAGTAAATTCACGAAATGGAATGTTATCTCAAGAAGTAAGTGTCACTTTCAATGTTATCTTTAATTTTACAATACTTATAAAATCTCGCATCAATTTCAAAAAGGTGAAAATTGACGCTCTTAAAAGTTTTCAAGTTTTTTTGGAAGCGGGAATGCTAAATGATGTCAGTTCGTAAGTGGAGATGCAAAATACACCGATATATAAGAACTACTTATTTTTATACTGAACTCAGATTTTATCATACTGTTTGTTATTTTTTGTAACCTTTGATTTATCCAGTCACTGGTATTTTATGAGCTTGTTGTCAACCGGATCTCTTAATCAACAGAAAAATGAATCAGAAATCATTGTAAATTGGGATGAGCGACATGGGCAGGTGAATATCAAGTTTGATAATATTGCGGTATATATAAAAATGAATTTAAACCTAAAATATAAAAAATCAAGGTCTTTTATTCACCACCTCATCCGCTGATCGGATCGCTTTTACCGAATATATTTACAAGTTCCGGTTCAGATGTTTCAAAACAACTTAATTTATTCGATGCTTCTGAATCTACATCAACAATAGACAAGAAAAGTGATCGAATAAATTTAAATTCAACAACAATGAAATTTCAATTCGATTCTGGCCCTGGAGATTCTGATAATAATACAAAAAATATATCTGCTATAGGCCGTCTGTCAGGATCTAAGGTATTATTCGGTTAATGTGATATCGAATTTCATTCTGAGAAATTTGCTAATTAAATAACATCATATACTTTTGGATAAATAGAGTCTTTTGGATTCTATACATCCACTGCTTATTTCCATGTGGCTTGATGCAGCACCCTCAGTTTTTGCGTCATCTAATTTAAATATTCGTGATACCTCTGCTCTTCATATTCTTCATCTTATATTGAATATTATGAAAATTTTATGGAGAACAATTTTACTTACGCCTGCAAAGGTATGTATTTTCACTTCTTTTATAAACTACAAATTTTATTACTTGCATTGATTGATTGGGCATAAATAAACTTTTTTTTGAATAGGAAACCAAAGAATTTATAACACCATATTGGAATCAACTATTCAAATATTTGGTCGTCTATTTTCCTTTTGGCTGGGAAACCAATATGCATGATAATAAGGTTGGTCATACAATTGAAATAAGTTATCTATTAGTATAAAAATAATTAAATATTGTTAATAATACGATATATAATTCTCAATAGGTTGAATCAATTCTTTTGGAAATGAATATCATCTTTAGTGAGATGGCTTCATCATACATATTTATAATTAGTGAAAACAAATTCATAAATCAAAAAGGGTTACCCTCTCATCACCACAAATCTGATAATAAAGGCATCCAAGATTCCGAAACAAAATTGACGGTTTCGCATCTCAATACTATAGATCAAATAGTAAAATATGTATTACGTATTCTTGGATACTCGGTAATAATTAAATATTATGTTTACGTTTTAGTATTTAAATATCAAGTCTTGCTCTTTTTGAATGTATTTATTTATAACAAGAATTTTCATTGCAGGGAAACAATAACGACACTAGAATGATGTCAAGTGCAACGATCAATGTCAAGCCAGAGCTTTTATCATCGCTACTTCCTACCATCACGTGTTTACTTAACTGTATTGATCAAGACCAACAATTGATTGTGTTTCAGGTTTGTTTTCTCATTCATATGCAAAATTATCAATCACGTTATTCATACTTTGGATTGTTTAGGCATTCATTGATTATTCGAAACGATGCCATTCTCAATCCACCGCAAAGAGAATCTGTATTGAATTCGTGGCTGATGTTTTTGAGGTACTGCTATTTATTTCTTTATATATATATTTCATATACGTCAAGTTATTTCAAAGAGAATTAACATCACTTGACCTTTTTAAAAGTTACAAATCCATCCACTATATACTGGTAATTTCAAAATTCAATCTAACAAAGCTCTATCTTCATTAATACAAACATGGCTATTGAGCTTACCAAAAATATTGTGGGAACTTAAATTAAATAATCTTGAAACAAGTAAAGTAAGCACATATAAAAGATATATTAAAATGTTTTTTCGAAATTATAAAATATACTACCACTGAGTTCTTTCCCTTTTTGTCTGCATAGAAAATTCTACAAATAATGTGCGATATCATTAAACGAGGATTAATTGGTTCCTTTGATGCGAAGGTAAAATAATATTATATATGAGCTATTTATTTGATCACACAACAAATAAATCTTTTGCTATTCATATTTTTTTAGATGTATGATCAAATTCAAATGGCTTTGGTACCTTTTCTTGTCGTGCATCTATCAAATAAAGGTAAAATGACTATATATAAAGTTCTCACGGTCGGATTATTTTAAACATAAATTATATTTCATTCCTATCTTTCCATTGATTCAGGACCAATATATGGCCCATTCATCAATTTACCAACACTTAGTCAACGAAAATTTTTGGAATTCTTATTTTATTGTCCACATCTTAACGATAAGCTCACAGTAGCATTGAGTGAGGTTTTACTTAATGAACAAATAGAAATCCAAATCAAAAATTATGCTGCTATGGTACTCGATCATAGATAATCATGTACATGCGAATGATAAAATGAAAATGTTATTGTTATTACAACTTAAAATGCTATATAACGTTTACAAATTTGATTAAGACAGTGACATATATTTTAGAGGATGAGGATAGAGCTGGATCTTGAATGGTATATAAGCATTTTTGATTTGCTGTAATATCTTACCTGGAATAAATAATAGATATCTCTATCAAAATGACATTAAGCAATGCTTTTACTAAAATTAATTAAATTGTGAATTGTTATTAATTTCTTAATGATAGTTAAAGTCAAAATAAATTAATTTTGACAAATTTTTTAAATATAAAGAAATTTGATTTTTTGAGTTATAATTTTCTTTTAATTTATCTTATTTTTTTAATTATTTTTTTAATTATTTTTTTATTAATTTTATTTAAAATTTAGAATACTTAAATAATAATAATAATGATAATAATATTTAAATTATTATACTTATTATTAATAAATAAATATAAATAAATTTGAATTTTTATAAATTTATATAAATTTAAAAAACTATATATAAATTCATTTTTTTTTAATAATATAATCTTTTTTATAATAATTAAAATTTATTTTCTAATTTATTATTATTAAATATTATTTTGATATAATATTTTTTATTTAAACTTTTATATTAATATAATAATTAATAATTTTTTATAATAATAAGTTTTTATAATATTATATAATAATATAAGAATAATTAATTAAAAAAGTTAAATTTTTAATTAAATTATTTTTAATTTATAAAATTAATAAACTAATAATATAAAGCTTACTTTCTTTATTTTATATTATTTAACTAATTTTAGATTATTTTTTAAGATTTTTTTATACATTATAATTTCAAATTAATTTAAAATTTTATTAAAATAATATAATAAAAACTAAAAGATTTAATAAAATTATTATTAAAATAATAAATAATTAATATTAAATAAAGTTAAATTAAGAATTATTAAAAATATTTTAAATCTCTTATATAATAATTATAATTATATAATACTTAAATTTTTTACTAATTATAATTTGTAAAATAAATATTTTTTATAATATATAAAAGTTTTTAATTTTACTATAAAAATTTTTTTAAAAATAGTTAAAATTCTTTGATTATTTATCATAATTAATTATAATTAAATTATAATTCTATGATTAGATATTGTAAGTTATAATTAAATAAGATGTTATCTTTAATAATAACTTATTCTAATTATATATAAAAATAATTAATTTTATTAATTAGTACTTAATTTTACTAAAAATTAATAATTTTATATATAATATGAACAAGTTTTTAATAAAAAATCTGAAAGAATATATATTAAACTAAAGAATTTTAGCTATTTTTTAAGTTAAAAATAAAAAATATTTATTAATAAAGTTAAAAATAAAAAATATTTATTAATAAGTTAAAAACTTTTATATATAAGAAAAAAATATATATTTTACTAATTATAATTAAAATTTACTATAAATTTATTAATAATAAATTTTATTAATTTTGAAATATTATATAATAAAAAAGCTTTTACTTAATAAACTTTAATAATATAATAAAAATTATAAAAAATTTAAATCATCAAATAAATTTATTTAATATATAGAATAAGAAATATTATTTATAATTATAATAAAATTTTATAATTTTACTTAATAATATTCAATAAATTTAATATATAAATATAAATATGAAAATTATATATTTAAAAATTTTAATTTGCTTTAATTATAGTTTAGAATTATAATTTTATTATTTAAATAATATATAATAAGAAAAAAGTATACATTATATAAAAGTATAAATTCAACAGATCAGATTATAAATAATATTATTAATTAAAAAAATTTGAATAAATTATTATTAAAGCAAAATTCTCATTCTTGACCTTGTTTTTAATTCTACTTTTTATTAATTTTTTATCAGATTTTTATTAATTATTATTAAGTAACTAATAAGAATACTATTTTGCACTCTATATATAAATCGTGGTTTTTTAATTTGTTGATTCGGCGTGATACGCGTAATTTTTCCTCCGAATTTCCTATTGGTCATCATCAATAGCCAATGGAAATACGCGGATTTGCCGCAGCAACCTAGGATCAATCCTGCCAATATCTATATAAAAAAATGAAAAACGTGAAACTACAGAAAACAGATGCTTAAACCTAGCTTGGAATACTAAATTAAAAATGACGGTAAGGTAATTTTATGTATAATTATGATTTTAACCCTAAGCTTAACCTTAATCTAATCTTCCTTAAAATCGATCGCAGTAGAATTTTCCGAACAATTGGAATCAAAATTTTAAAACTTTTTTTAATCGGAAACCGAAAAATATCGGTCATAATTTATCCATAATTTAGGCAAACATGATATAATTACACAAGTAAAATTTCATTTGTTAGACCGATTAATTGAAATTAAATTTTAACTATTTATACAAAATTTACATTATTTCGCTTTTCCCCTGTAATAATACTATTGCACAGCGAAACTAAGATGGCAAATATTTAATTTATAAAGTTTGCCCTATAGTGTTTGTTTTTTCCTTTCCATCATAATCATGTATTTATAACGGATCCTTTTTAGGATTCCACCAAATTGGTGCTGATATTTATGTATACGAAGAAATTTTCATGTATTATTATTATTATGATGAACTGTTGTTTCAGATTCTATTTCTGGTATTGCTTCAAACTTCTTATTATAGAAGATATTTGAGGAATTAGTTCTATTTTTACTTGTGCCGGCTTTCTCTCCTGTCGTCAATCCAACCGAGGATGGATTAACGGTGGAAGAGGACTGAGTAATAACTTTTGTTGGCGTTTGCGTAGCTGTCTTTTCCACCTTTGCAGACATCACTTTCGCCACTGTAGCTTTTATCTGCAATCTAATCCAATCTATGGCAACGCTTGATAATTTTGATACGTGTTCCTTCACTTGATCTGGTGCATATTTTAGGTATAGTTGGCGTATTTCTTTGCTTGTACCCACCAATTTCCTTAAAACTTTCCGACATATTATAAACCACATGGTCACACTTACAGATCCTTTAATTTTAAAGTAAAGTTGAATGAGATTAGACGATAAGAAGCGAGAAAGAAAATGACGAATTAAAAGGAAATAACGCGTGATTTTTTATCAAACCTGATGGAGCTAATGGCAACGAAAACATCCACGTTACGGGACTAAACCAGTCCTTTGGCAAATAAAACACGGGTGATGTTCGATACCAGATCATCATTACTACTTGAATCCCATTTGTAAATAACCATAAGGAAGTTGTGAATTTCACTTCAAACGAAGTTTTCAGGAATCCCAGAGATTTTGCTAATAAAGTATTTTTGTACGAAAAATGTTTTAATGATCTAACAAGAACACACAGTAAAGCAGAAGTAAAAATAAAAAAATCGATGATATTTACATAATTTGTCCAGGTCATTCATTTTACTATCCATTTTTCGCCGCAATTTAGCCCATTTAGAAAATTGATCCTATTCAATACGATTAAGAATGAAACATAAAGAGATAGTCGTGTAAACTGTAATCCTATCTGCGCGTCTAGTGGTATTACATATTACCTGTGAACTTGTCCTTCCCAATTCTTGTTTAATGCTTAGTATATCCCTTTTGAAATTTCTCTGTCTTTCAACCAGCTCTTTTTTGAAATAAGTCAAATAAACACCATATGCCTAACAAAAAAAAAAATAACAGGTATCGTCAGTGGCTTTTGATTGGTGTACAACTCTTACGATAACGTTTTTATCCGGAATATAATTCTCCTGATCAAAGACAGACAAAGAGAAGTTTACATACCAAACTCGCGATTTGTGAGTAACCAACCCAAAGAATAATTTCTGTAAACAGGACAATAAATAATATCAGCAATGCTAAGCCCATTTTTATTTTTTTAATATATAAAGTAATTTACAAATTTTCGCGTCGTAATAAGGAAAGGTTTTTGAAATCAAGTATTATACAATGTATTATCCAATGCACGAAAATAGAAATTAAAGTTTGCGTGATCACAAATTAACAAACAAATTTTTTTTTACTTTTGTAATCTTAGCATGAATCAATAGCCAATTGTATATAAAGAAAAAGCACTACCCATATTACCCATATCGCTCATATCACATGCTAGACAACTCGCATAACACTAACTATCTTCGTCTTGAACTCCTGTAACTATCTCGATCCCGCCTGGATTCGCTGTTATGGTGGTGATCTTTGCGTGTATACCTACTACTACTACTACTATTATTATTATTATTATTATTCCTATCAACATCGTCCCTATTTAAATGACGTTCCCGTTCTCTCTGATGACTGCTGCTACTACTTTGCGTGAATACTTCACTTATTTTTCCACTCTTTTGTGCACGTTTCTTTTTTTCTTCTTCAAATGCCTGTTGTTTACGCGCTAAAGGATCAATTACAATAAAATCATCTGGGTCATCCCTTCGTTGCATGAGATCTTTGCCCTTATGATCTTTTTCAAATACCAATTGATGGGATAACCATCCTTCATCTGTCAAGTCATTCTGCGATTGACCAAATGTATCACGACATGACTGACAATTTGGCACTGAATGCAAGGTACATGGTTCATCGCTTCCATTAACTGTTTCTTGATCTACTAAAGGATTTTCTGGTGGCGCAGTGTCGATTTTATGTTGAAATGCTCGCAGTTTTGCTAACGTCTAAATAATAAATAAAAAGGATTTTAATACGTTAATAAAAAAAAATAGTCGAATGGCCATTTTTTATATAAACACTAACATCTTCTTCGCTTCCTTTTTTCCTTCGAGCAATTGCTGCCTTTCCGGATTTTAGATATCTTGTTCGTTCAGTTTCCAAGAAATTTGATTCCAATTTCGATTTTTTTTTGGGACGATCCTCTTGAGAAATATTTGTATCTTTAGATTTATTTAACTTTTTTATGTCTTGCGTAACTTGTTGGATTTCTTGACGAATTATTTCACTAAAAAATAATTGAATATTAGATTAATTGGCATATATATATATATATATAAAAGACACAGAAAAAATTCTCTATACGAACGATTTAGATAGATGTTGGTTTTTGTCTTTAGACATGGATTCTTTTTGCATATTTTCAACCATTTGTTTAACATTTGCCTTCATTTTCCTGTCGAAATCCTCCGGACTCTCGTCTTCATTATCTTCTGTATTTTCTATCGTCCCATGAATCCTTTTCTTTGTTGTTTCCAACTTTAGGATTATAATTAATAAATATAGAGAACTATATTAATAATAATTTTCAGGAATTCATCAAATATAAAATAATCTTTCTTTCTTACTTTTTGCGTCTCCTTTTGAGTTATCTCCGACATATTTACAGCAGGTTCTTTACTGAGTCGCGGATCATCATCTATCAAATCATGACTGCTTTTTATTTTTAGGTTAAGGTCACCGGTACTATCAATTTCAGTTGCTTCTTCTCCAAATGACAATAACGCGATATTTCTATAAGAAATAAAGATTAACTAATTATACTAAACATAATTGATTAAAATTTATTTATTTATTTACTCACTTTTTCATCTTTTTTTTCTTTACAGGCTCTTTAGATTCTACCACCTCTTGAGCCTGTCGTTCTCTTAACGAAACTCGCGGAACGATATCATCAAATGGATTAGCCAGTACTTCCGTGGACAAGATTGACGGTGGATAAAACGGACGTTCATCCGCATCAACTTCCAGTTCACCAATTTTCAACACGTTAAAGATAGTATCACCGACAACTTTTCCAAATATGGTATGCTTATTTTGTAACTCTTCCGTCGCGTTTAAAGTTATAAAAAATTGACTTCGATTATCATTTCTCCCCGCGTTAGCCATCGCTACAAGACCTCTTCGTACGAATCGAAGTCGTGTGTGAAATTCATCAGGAAAAGGTGCTTCATAAATGGAATCGCCCCCTTTTTTTTTAAACAAAGTTGAAAAGAGATTTTTTATCAAAATGAACTAACAAGTTTCAAATATTACTTTAACTTCAATGCATGCTGGAAACAATGTGAAGAACTCTTTTTGTTGATTTCTTTAAAGTATTAAACAACGATTGTTTGTTTTCTCGTTGAATTTAAGTGTCGATTTCCGAATCACTGTTTTGCACCAATGACGATTAACAAGCAGACAAAGGATATAGTAAAGAAGCAAGGGAGAACACGCAATATTGTACCTTCTCCAGTACCAGTAGGATCCCCACCCTGAATTATAAATTGTGGAACTACCCTTGTTATGGTAGCAAAAGTTTATTGAGAAAATCGCAGATTTCTAAACATAATTCCCCAAAATATAGTCTCACCTATGAAAAATCGTCCCCGTGTAGTAGCCCTCTAAGCATAGTTGAATGAAATTACGCGTCGCCTTGGGCGCTTCTTTTGACCAGAGTTCAATGTCGATGTCACCAGCTGTTGTGTGGAGTACAACTTTTCCACTATGAAATAAATTCAAATTCAAGGTAGGGCAATTAGATTAGATTCAAAATGAATAAAAGATAGTTTAAGAAAAAACAACTACCTTGTTGGCGGTTCTTGAATGTAGAGATTCGACATTTTGCAGAGGTAATATCGTTAAACAAATGAAGTCACGCATTAATTCCTGCAGCTCTTTCATGGGAGTTACGGTCAAATAAATAAGACCTCTAAATGCATCCTCTCATCCTAATTTGGGGTTTGTCGAGAGTCATGTGATCAGTTCATCAGGTGAACTGGTAAAGGGAAAAATGAAGGTTGTAAACAAACCAACCTCTAACATTATAAGAGATTGCAATTGGCAAATTTTTCCAAACCAGAAAAGTTGTCACGAATAAAAACAATGAGTTATATAAATTGAGTCAACAAAAATTAGAACAATTGGGACCAACAATATATGAAATTAATTTATATAATTAGCAACTACAGGATTATCTTTACAACAATGAATGAGTGAGTAGTTTTCTCTTTATGGGAGATAGTAACATCGAAAACAGAAATATTTTTTACTCTCAGTTTGCAGGTGTCCAATCTGAACCAAATCGGACACAACAGCCACAACAATTGCAACTGGTACCATCGCAACAACAGCAAAAGCAAAGGCGTGGTCCAACATAACCGTAATTTTGTTGATAAGCGATCTCTTCCTCAAGAAACAATAATAGATGGTAAAAATGACGGAAATGACGAAAATTACCTGGAAAAGGAAAGGAGAATCGTGAGTGGGAGATCCAAACTAAGAGAAAGCATGGCAAAATTGCTGCGCCGGAAAGGAAACATACTCGAGTTCATGCTCAGCAGAAACCATTATTGATTCATTGCGTTGGGTGCACTGGCAAGTCATAAACACCACATCAAAGGACATTCTCGACGAGGAACTAAACAGGTTCGAGCGATTGAAAAAGTTGAAGATTTACAAATATTTCTCCAATTATATACAGTAATAAATAACTTAAATAATAAAAAAAGCGGCGAAAGAATATAAATGCACAATAATGAATGAGTACGACGAAATCTTGTAAAAAGCTTCATGGAAGGGGAAATTCAATTCGAAATTACAGAAAACACACCCAAAAGACGAATTCGAGAACTTTGAATTAGATTTTGGAAATTGTTTCAAGTCAAGGTGACGTAGTTGAGTCTCTTGTTGATGATTGGAAATAGTTGACACAGACGACGAAAATACAATGTATTAAGAAAGTCTGACAATTTTGTGTAATAAAATTAGAAATTTATCTAACTTTATGATTTGAGTTAGAATCTGACAAAAATTTATCTAACTTTTTGATTTTAGGTTAGAATCTGACAACTAAAATATTAATAATTCTGTCTTTTCAACTATTTTATACATAATTTGATATGAAATTTTTTGTTACACAAAATTGTTCAAAGACTTTCTTAATACACTCTAGTAATTAATTATAAGTCAACTCGCACCTGATTAATGATTGATAAGATTAGGATAAGGGTAAAAGTTATGGTTAGAGATAGAACTATATATAAAATTGCTTCCCTGAGGTAAGGTTCATGCATTAACTTTTCTCGTAATATTTACACTGTTCATATCTTGTGTCGGAGTTGTTTTACCGGATTGATCACATGACTCGCAACGATTTATCGCATCCCCTAATTTGGGAAATTTAAGAAAAACGTGTAATTTCTGTCGTAATAAAAATATAAGAGACATTACTCCGATACTTACACGACTGTTCTCACTTAGATAGATTTTGTTTGTTTTATTATATTAAATAACACCAAATGTAAAAATAAAAATTATACAAAATAACAATTAATATTTTATTTGAACAAATTCATTAATAATAATGTAACGATAATAAATAATAAAAGTAAAATTTTCTTTTGGTTATTTTCTGTTCTAATTTGATTGTTTTTTATTTTGGTTTGATTAATTTCCATCTTACTTGTAAACTTTCTTTGAGTATCAACCATCGTCGCAATCTTTTCTTCTAAAGCTTCTATCTTCCTTTTTTGATCCTGGTCCAGTGCGAGAATTATTTCTTCAATCTTGCGGGATTTTTCTGCTACGGAATCATCTTTTAATTTTCTGGACAGGTACCCAGGAATATCTTGACACATGTCCAACATATTCGTCAGCAACATGTTATATTTTGATAATTCCCCTCTTGCAATGGCAGGTCTTGAGTAACCGTCCTTGGCCGATGATATAAAAATTCCTATTGTGGTATTCCTCGGGTATCTTGACATCACCCCCTCAAAAGCATCAATCTCGCCAACACCAACCTTTGCAGTCGTATAGTTCTTACATTGGACCAAGATCAAGTATTCGTCGTGATTCCCAAAAATATCCACACCACCGTCACCACCGGACAATCTAAATGATAAACATCATAAGCAAGTGTCATCATCATCGTCACGGTAAATGCCCTGAGTGACTGAGTATCATGGCATTTATCCATGCATCCTATTCACCACAGCCCCAGAAGTTAATCAATGGCTTCGTTTTTTAAAAAAACAGTAGCTTTTCGGATAATAGATAAAACAGAGAGGGACGTTCACAGGTCTTGTTACTCCAGCCAAAATAACTACCTGCGGCCACGATGCGCTTCCAATTCTCTGTTCATCGTATCACCCTAGTGGCAGCGTAACTTCGGTTGCATAACGACTAAACAGTTACTTAGTGAAATGAGTGTCTCACCTCACTCTTTGACAATCAATGTTCATATTCCTCAAAGTCTTCAAAACTTTAGCCTCAAACTCGTTTCCCTTGGCAACAGAAGAAGTAGAAACAGATGTAGTAGAATTGTTCATGTTAGCTAAGACGATTTTGGAGATGTATTTGAGTTGAATTTTTCGTTTTATTGTTCTTACCGTTGTATTATTTCACGTTGTAAGCTATCGCTATTCCACTTTGTGCTCGGTTCTTGATCACATGATCTTCGTGTGGCACTCATTCTTCTCATAATACCCTAGCCACGGCGAATAGAACCCTAAAAATGTTCGGGTCATGTGATTTTTAAGGGTAAACCAATCAAATCGCAAGATATAGCATTTCGGTTAGAATTAAGATTAGGGTTAGAGTCGGAGTTAAAGTTATATTGTACGCGATCTCTAATAGTAAAATTTGCAAGACATTTTTTAGAAAGTAGTTTCATGTTCATAGGCAAAAAATTATTTTTTACGTTTTGAATACATCCCCTAAAAATCATATGACCCGAACATTTTTTTCGTAATTTTGTAATACCCCAAAAAAAGTTCCGATCACATGATTTTCTAAGGGGTAAACCAATCAAATATCAAATCGCAAGGTCGATCTTGTATCTCGAAATTTGAAACTAGTTTCTGTGCTCTAATAAAAAAAAATATTCCTTGCGAAACACTTTACTAAAGTTGTTTGTGTGTAATATTCAATATCTTGCGTTTTGGTTGGGTTACCCATTAAAAAATCCGACACTTTTTCTTGCCGTGGCTAGGATATTATGCAAATCGATAACTATGTCATGGATGATAATTCTCAAATCTCTATCACTACTGAGAAACCTCTCCCAATCAAGTATTCGAAGCCATAACTATCATTAAAAAATTTCTCTTTCGCCAAGAAAAAAATTTATGACCAAAAAAACCATAATCATTAATGGAAAATCTATTAATCTACAAAAGAAGAAACTTTAAATTATATTTGATCACAGTGGATTTCTGAAGATTTTGATACAGAGAAGCTTAAATAAAAGAATAAAGTTAAGGAAGAGTTTTGGAAAAGTTTACATTATTGAGATAATTAAGAATATAGGAAAATTTTAGATAGTTTCATCATGCAAAAGATTTAGATTTTGAAAGGAAGAAAGTGAGTATTAAATTATATTATATATATATATATATCAAGTAAATTATTTATATTAATAATATTTTTATTAATTAATATATTTACAAATATTTCAATAATCAAGAGTTTTAAAAAAAACAAAATTTAACAAAATAATACAAGAAATATTTCTTTATTCAGAATATTAAAGATTATTTTTTGCATTATATTTCAATAACAAAATAATGAATTTTTAAAAATTACTTATAATTCAAAATTTTTCTTAGAAAACAGTTTTAATAATTAAGTAAAAATATTTGTTAAATTTAACATCAAAAATAAAGCTGTACTTAATTTAAAATTATTCTAGAATAAATTATTTAAAAGGAAATTCTATATATGGCAAAACATCAGACTGAACTATTAATACCCCTGACTAGATTCTATATTTAATAATACTTTTTTTGGAAATAAAACTGACAGTAAAATTAATAATTAATACTTAATCTAATCTTACCAAAGTAGATCAAGTAACACCAAATAATTTGATCGACAAAAATTTATCGCCATAATTCCAAATAAATCACATGTCCCCGATCGCGTTGAAAAAATTGGAAGATTTCCCGGTCTTGGCTTTGTCTAAAAAGCTGCATGGAAACCATGGAAACAATCTCTCACTAAACGATTGGATATCTAAAATCCTTTGAACGTAACACAAACCCGACATAAAATTACAACAAACACAGGCTCATTTTTTTTTATTCAACTCAACTCGTCGTTTTCAAGAGAATATACGGCTCCTCTCTCTATCCCCGTATTTCGTTCTTGCTTACTCGCGACCAACCATTCTGGCAACTCGCGCAAAAAAAATAGTTTTTTTGCTCATATTGCCGTTTCCATTCTTTCCGCATTCCTGATCCAGTCTTGTTACAACAACACTTTATCACTCGTAAACCTTGTAATTCTTGCTTGTCTTATTAATTCAGGCAATTGAAAGCAATCCAATTCTTCCTCATCTTGCATACTATTTTTTCTTCTTTTTCCCAATACACTTACAATGCCGAGCAAGGCCCCAAAATACGTTTATCATGGTCATAGCAAGATCATCTCGGGTGTTATCGCGGTACTTGAAAATACTAATGAACCATTATCTCTGCAAGAGCTGGTCGACGAAATGACCAAGCGACAATTAGTAGTTTTTCAGTGAGTATTTTTTTTTCGAGAGCTTAAAGTCATAATGGGTAGCCATCATCTTGTTCCTAACAGAGAATTATGAAATTTTTTTATTTTGTTAATAGTGGTGCTACCCCACGTAATACAGTTAGTGGCGAAATAAGCAAGCTACTTAACGCTGTAGGTCCTAATAACGCGCCTATTTTAAAAGTTAACCAAGGCAAACTCACTAAATTTTTTTTAAGACCGCGTCTTCAGCAGCAGCAGCACGATATGATGTACGTTTATTATTTGTATATTTTTGGAAACACGATTTTTATTTCATTTCTCTAATCTTACGATTTTATTACAAATAGGAAACAAGTTTCTAATGGCAAGGTTCATAAGAAATCTTCACATATCACACGTCATTCTCGTCGTTCTTCATCTTCAATTAGTTCTGCTTCCTCATCATCATCATCATCATCTTCCTCTTCTTCGGACGAAACAAACTCGATTGATCGAATCAATCCACAAAAAAAACGGCGACAAATGGAAGATCTTAAGTATGTTATAATAATGCTTTTATTTCTCTCGAAGAGGATTCATATGAATTAAAACAAACCTTTTTCCAACCATTTCTCAATATAGGGCAGCATATCTTCTTTCATGTTTATCTGCCCACTCATTTTGGTTCAATTACAAAAATGAACCCGAGAAAGATTTCGAATGTTTTCTTGAGGTCCATCTTGGCATAGATAATGCACTCGATCATTCCTTAAATGCAGTATCTAGATCCATTAATGTTGTTGCGGGAAATTCAAGTGCACACAATGGAAAAGAGGTATTCTCGAGCGAAGAAATAATGAGCAAAGGAGAGGATTGCTGTGCAGCCTTTTAAAGCTCTCTTCGATATAGGATCCTACCATTGGAAATGGCAACAAACATAAAAGAATAGTTTACTCGTTAATACAAAAATTACAATTTTTTTAAACAATAGATTAGACTTCAACTTTTAATTGTAGATAACACTTGTTAATACTCATAATTTCAAAACCCTAGTAGTAAAATTTCACATTAATATCGTCATCAATTTATATCTTTTTTTTAGATATCACTAATTTCGCATCAAGTTACGGAACATTTTTGGAAATGGATTAATTGTTTTTTTGTAAATTAATACTTAATAATTAATTTTCGCATCTTTGTTATTGGTATCATTACTTAGATTATACATGTATTAGTATCGCACAGAAAGATGATGTCATGGTTTTTTAAAGATTCGAATTTTAGAGCTTTCAATGTATTTGTTAATTTTTAGTAATGCAAATCTGTAATAGACATCTATGCCGTTTTTTGGCATTCCTCAAAATGTGTTTGCTTAATAAAATAGATAAATTAATCCACGTTGAATTAATAAATAGTAAACAAAATTTTGCTATTCGACCGACTTTCGTATGCTAGAAGACCATAAATGAAAAAAAACCCAAAAAACACCAAGTCGTATTTTTCCCTTGGATAATATATTCAGGCTTGTCACTCATAATTGTTTCCATGTGATGATCCATTAGGCATTATGGAATTTTCAGCTTTGGTGATGGGAATGGAAATATTAATAGTGGATGATGACATAGTTTGAAGTTCATTATTGTTTGTTTCCAAGAAGCCATTGTTAGTATGGGAATTGATTTGGTGTATCGCTGATTCTTTTTCATTTATTATTGACGATTTGTTATTTTGTTTATTTGAAGTTGAAGTAATTTCCATGGAGCTGAAAACACTTGGCAATGTCTCTTGAATATTGTTCTTATTTATAGATGAGATTTCTATACTTCGTGATCCATTTGTTATTATTGGAGACGTCATTTCAGGATTGTTTGGCGAAGGCGTCGTCGGTATATTGTTTAAATGTTCTGATGAATGTTGTGAAGTCAATCCTTGCCCTTTTTCTGAAACATTTTCTGATTGTTTCATTTTTTTTGCTTTTGCCTGTTCCAACTGTTGAATTATTGAGCGTGTGAGCGAGGAATTTGCACGTCCTTTCAATTGAATTGTATCTGAAACCTGTTTTAGCTTTTGTGGGGAAGAAGATTTTTTGGCATCGGATTTTGAAGAAGACCGAGTGGCGACAGTTGATGATGATGATGGCGATAGTGATGATGATGACAAATCGTTTGTCATTGACAAAACGATTTCGTTATGTTCGTTACGTATAACATTTGTCATTACTGACGGTGTTGGATACTAAAAATACATTCATTAATTCTTTTATTATTTAACAATGAAAATAAAGCATGAAGATAAAAACTTGAATTTTACCTGGCGATTTGGTTGATTGAAATGAATTGCAGCCCAGGGTGGGTGATCAATCTCTAGCTGCATAATTTTCGCTTCCAATACTCGTATGCGTTCATAGACATTCAACGGAATTGCTATATTTAGAACATTGAAAAATTAATAAACTATTTCTTATGTAGTAGAAAATAGGTTTAAGGAAACTGTCGAGCCATTTACCAATCTTTACATTCAAATGATCCTGAATATTTTTTAGCCTTTCCTCAACACCAATAGGTAAATCCACATGATTTTTATTATTACAATTATTTAAACCATTCTTCTTATTATTAAAAGTTGAACGAGCCAATGGGCCATCTTCATTATTTACAACATCTAACTTCATTTGTATATTTCTATTTATTTCAGCAGCATCTGAACGAGCACATGATGACGCTAATAAAAATAAAATAATAAAATAACTAAAATCATTTGTGAATTTTTTTATCTTTTTTTACAAAAATATTTTAACCCTAACCTTCGTTATCATTGGGATCGTGTGATTTCCTTAGAAATTCTGAACGATTACTATCGTTAATTTCCGATTTCTTTTGTTGCATAAAAGCTTCAATTCTTTGTTCAATCTAACCCAAAGAGCAAATAAATTCAAGTTAAATAGAATATACATACTATTAAATAGCAATTTCCCAAAAAGATATACCTCAGAATGTGTAGCCCTTATTTGAACTTGTAGTGGATCAATTTTTTGGATTCGCTTTGCAGGCTTGTCATCATCTCCTAAAGCAAATTTGGGTTTAAAAAAATTTTTTAAGTTTAAATATATATAATTGATACGGCTATCTATCTATCTATCTATATACCACATTCTATTTTCCTCTTGCCCGTAATTTTTGATAAGGTTGATGTTGATGATCGGTCGACTTCGATATCAGAATTACAAATCTAATTAAAAGAAAACAGTCAAATTTTTACACATGGAATAGATGGACGAAGCAACGAACAGAAATCAAAAAACATACACTTAATTTTTGCACAAGTAAATCAATATGCGTTGGCATTTGTTTTCGCTTTGCAGAGGGAAATACGAGCATTTCAGCTTCTAATGCTCTATTAGTTTCTAATAAACCAACCTGTTAAAAGCAATGTTAAATATAAAAAACTTGAAGCGTTTAGCTCAACAAGCAAGTTGAATTATTGAAATGAGCTTACTTTGATTAGAAATTCGCTTAGTATCTCGTGCCATTCTTGTATTGTAGGTAAACCATTTTTCTCAAAAGAATTAGAAAGTGGTCGCGTGTGGTTTTCCATATTAATGCACAAAAGTGCACCTACTCACTATATTTATTTCACGTGAATATTTAACGAAATTATTTCAGAATTTATTACAAATAAATAAATGTATGATAATTTTTGGCCAAAAAATGAATCTATGGCTGGAATCCGAAATAATTACAAAAGCGAATGTGACTTCTATAAATTCAAATGGAATATTTTTCATTGTGTCGCTAAATTTAATATTGGTTTTTTATCAGGTGGAGGAAGTGGCGTATTAATAACGTTCTCTTCGACAGATTCTTTTTTGAGCATATTGTTCCATACTTCTTCAACATATTCCTTAGTGACATCACCGAATACGACGCGGAATACATCATCGTACCAAGCGACCGGTACGCCTCGTAAACCTTCTTTTACATTTGCAGGTAATTCTTCCCAATCACTTATATTGGCTTCAGGATGAATTAAAGTTGTCACGCCTGATCGTTTAGCTGCTACAGCTTTCTCACGAAGACCACCAATTTTCAAAACTTTTCCCGTAAGTGTCAGCTCGCCCGTCATTGCTATCGTTGGATCGAGAGCTTTTGACATAGCGAGAGATAAAAGAGAAGTAGCCATTGTGATTCCAGCAGAGGGACCTAAATAATTTATTGAACCGATAAATTAGAAAATAGATGTTATATTATATTCCAAAAATTGAAATACACACCATCCTTAGGTGTGGCTCCCTCTGGCACATGGAGATGTATAGATGCCTGTTCAAAGAATTTATTCTCTGGAAATCGTCGCGCCATCAAACTTTTCGCAAAAGTATAAGCAATTGTTGTGGATTCCTTCATAACATCCCCCATTTGTCCAGTTTTTGACAAAGCAGGAGTTGAGTTTGGTGTAAGAATTGAATCCAAGGTTGATTCAACATACAACGCCGAGCCACCTTTTTCGACATTTTATCATGATTAATATAGGAATAGTAATATCGTAATTAGATCATTAGTTATAACTATTACATACCCATACTCGTCCAGGCCAATCCCATGACTACACCAGGAGGCGTTACATCATATAAACGATCAGAATGGAAAGTCGGAGGCCCAACATAATCCTTCAAATTATCAACAGTTATATCTACACTGACATTATTTGGTACTTCTAATGGCTTACGTTGTTCTGTAGTAGTTGACACTTCATCATCCTTATTTTTTTCAGAAGATACGGAATCTGTATCAGAAGAGCTTTCCATTTCTTGTGAAGGCAGAGCTTCATCACCAAGGTCTACAACTATTTTATATGCTGCTTTTCGGTATATCTTATCGATATGCTTTTTGAGATTGCGCACGCCGCTTTCTCGACAATAAGATCGAATTAGTACCTCAATTGCATCTGAATGAAGATTCACATTTGCGTTCTGTAACCCAGCCATCTCTTTAGCTGTAGGTGCCAAATATTTTGAAGCAATGTTGATTTTTTCATCCGCTATATAACCAGAAAGTTGGATAACTTCCATACGATCAAGTAATGGCCCAGGAATAGTGTCTGTAATGTTTGCCGTGCATACGAAAAGAACTTTTGAAAGATCCACTGGCACGTCCATATAATGATCTAAAAACGAATAGTTTTGTTCGGGGTCAAGTAGTTCTAATAATGCTGATGAAGGATCACCTTGATGACCTCGTCCAATCTTATCCACTTACAAAAGAAATTTAGATCAAATAAAATTATCAGCATAGCATATAATTGAATTTCCATAAATTAGTGAATAATAATTTCAATCTTATACCTTCATCAATTAAAATTAGAGGGTTCTCGGTTTGAACTTTTTTCAAAGCCTGGACAACTTTACCAGGCATTGCTCCAACATAGGTACGACGATGCCCTTTAATTTCCGCCACATCCGTCAAACCTCCAACACTGAAGCGGTAAAATTGACGCGAAAGAGCGCGTGCGATTGATTTACCAATTGAAGTTTTACCTACGCCTATTTATAAAAGATTACTTATTTAATACATTTTAAAACGCAAGCAAAAAAAAAAATTGAGCTATCAAAGAATTAATTACCAGGAGGTCCGACAAGACATAAAATTTTACCCTCAACAGTACCCCTAAGTTTGCCAACAGCAATAAACTCGAGTATCCGATCTTTGACATCTTGTAGACCATAATGATCTTCATCAAGGACTTTTTTTGCGTGTGTAATATTATAGTTTTCAGGGGATCTTTGTCCCCATGGTACTTGAGTTAACCAATCAAGATAATTCCGAGTCACATTAAATTCCGAAGCAGCAGGTTCAAGATGAGCTAGTTTGTTTATTTCCTGAAATAATCAATAGGAATACAATTTTTTGATTAAAGTGTATACAAATAATATACGCGATTTCCATATAAAGTAATAACTTGCCTCTTCAAAGACTTTCTGTACTGCTTCGGGCATAGCCAATTTATCGGCTTTTTCTCTAAATTTTTCGACTAATTTATCTTTACCGTCCGTTTCAATTCCCAATTCTTTCTTTATTCCTTTTAATTGTTCCATCAAGTAATATTCGCGTTGCCTTTTGGCAATTTTTGATTCGACTTCTTTGCTAATTTTGCTTTGCAATTGAGCGTTTACCAATTCTTTTTTAAGGACCAGTAAAGATTTTTGTAGCCGTTCTTCGATCACCAGACTTTCAAGTACTTCTTGCAATTCATTTGGTTCACCGGTAGAGACGGCCGCAGCGAAATCAGCTAGTTTAGCGGGTTCTTCGAACACATTTCCGGCAGATTGGGACATTGAAAAGTTTGCAATTTGATCACGAAATAATGGATTCAGAGTAGCAATATCTTTGAATACCGCGACAATTTCAGATGTTATCGCACGAATGACTTGATTCTTTCTTGCATAAGGTTCGTCAACAAGGTTTTCAACATTCACGAGGGAAACATTGAAATCCTTGAGAAAAGAGGTGGCATATTGTTCCGACACTATACAAACAACACCATAATATAAAGTTGATCGGTGAAATAAAGCGTGATGATATATTATGATGAACAGCCGACATGGAAAAGTGACTGGTAACCTTTTTGCGTTTCTTCTCTGACATTATTATCTTCTTCAGCCTCCTCGGCCACAGTTTCTTCCAAAGTTCCACCACCACCAATTTGATTTGGTGGCACAAGATCGGTAATTCGTATTCTTCTATGAGGATACAAGACAGCAGTTAATGAATTCTCATCTTGACCCCCATTTGCGGGGAAAACGCTCGTAATCTGAGCAAATACTCCCACTCGGAAAACTTGAGATGCGTCTGTGATCGTGTCAACGTCTGTCTCCTCATCTTTTAATAGGAAAGCACCGACATAAGGTTGTCCACGTTTCATTAACTCTTTTATTGCCGCTGTGACATTATGATCTTTGATTACAACAGCTTTATAAAATCCGGGAAATAATGGACGTCGCGCAATTGGTAGTGCCAAAACTTGAGGATAAACTTCTGGCACTGATGGCTTCTGCAATGTAGTTTCTAATACGTGCAGAGTTCGTTGAATTCCCTCAAATGGCGATCGAGGGGGGTTATCACCTGCTCCATCATTACCACCTTTGCCAGATCCATCCCCTTTATTTCCACTTCCCGAATTTCCTTCACCACCATCATGATTTCCATTATTACTATTATTACCACCTTGTTCACCATCACCTTTCGAACCACTACCAGATTCTGACAATGTCTTATCGGGTTTTATTTTTTCTTTAGGATTAAATACAGTTGTAGTAAAATGTTTAATTTGCTGCCCAGTCCAAGCAAATGTTCGTTGACAATATGATCTTGTGTTACATGGTTGTATTAAAAGAAGCATGGAAGAAGGTTGATTGGATTGCGTCGTCGGCGGTTTAACAAAAAATACCCGAGCATTTTCGGTAAGCGTGGTTTGTGGTTTCGCGTAATAAGAGCCCGTCGTAAATGCTTTTAAAGGCGGTGTTGTTGTCCATGTTGGAGTTCGCTGTAAATGTGGTTTACTCGGTAAGCGCTTTAGAGAGAAAAATGCAGACGATCGTGCGTGCGCAGGTGTCGTTTTAAATATGATTGAACTAAACATTTGACCAAATTTTGAGATACTCGCGATGCTCTAGAAATTCATCCCAAAATTTTCTTTGAACACATGATTGATCAATCACTTATTATCTCTCGATTTTGAAATATGACGTGTTTCGAAATAAATGGAAACGTCAGTTTAAGTATATAGAAAATTTAATCCTTAATTCTGGTAAATCAATTTGCTTGAAGAATAATTTTGAGGTTAAATTAAATTCATATTTAATAATTCAATAATATAATTCAGAAAGTTATCAAACAAGTAATTTTATTTATGCGCATGGTTTACTTCTGGATTTTTGTATTAAAGTTTTTTTTGTTTGATAATTAACCTATTAATATCAATAAAACTATCAAATCTTTTTACTTATATATTGAATAAAGTTCTTTTCTCGATAATTAAATATTGAATTTTATTATATTAATTATAAAGAAAATATTAAAAAATCAATTAAGAAAATAAATACTAATAATGTTTTCAAAAACTTAATAATTAAAAATTTTATTGATAAATATAACATCTCATATTTCTTTTGCAATTTACTGTATATTTATTTAATTAATAATACTTTTGATATTTAATTTGGGATTATAAAAATAATTGAAAATTCTGATATTTATTATAAAATATGTGTATCTGAATTTAACATAAATTTAATTAAAATATTTTTCATCAAATCATAAAAATTAAAAATATAAGATAGCGTCTAATATAAAATTTCATAATAAAACATTTTTATTCCAAGCAAAATTTCAATAATCAATCGTGACGATTTGTTGTGACCAATAAAATCGCGGGATTACGACATGTAAGCACGAATACAAAAATTTTTTTTTATAAAAAAAAATGTACAAGAATAGTGCCAACTGGAATTATCTCACTCAAAATTATGAAAATTTGCCATTAATTCCGGTTGAATTTCTGTTAATGCCGCAGCTTTATCGAATTTTAAGCGTTAATAATGTCAGTCGGTAGATTGCAAAATTATGCAAATATAAATTTAATGATCGCAGTTTTTTTTCATTGTAGTTATATTGCCAAAAAATTACCGTTACGACTTCCTTTAATTTTCAATGGACACTTTCGAGATGAACAACATCCCTTTGTTACGACCTGCTTATTTGTTTGTTATTTATTTGTAATTAATATCTTCGGTGCGGACCCGTGTTGTTTACATCCTCTTTGTTATCTTGCTCCTGTTTCTTCTAAATTAAAAAAGAATTCGCTTAACATATCCACAAATTACCACTTCCCCGCAATGATTTTCAAAAAATTGTCCCACGGAATTAATCGTCTGTCCCACGATCGAATAAAGTTCATATTATTCAACTTCCTATTGTGTGTAATTAACATTATCGATCGGTACCCCACATTTCCCATTGATCCCTGAAGGTTTTTTTTATTCGTTACCAGGTGAAATATTACTGAATAAGATATTTAAAGATTGTAAGCAAGCTTGATTCAAGAAATATACTAAGCCTTGCTCACCAAATTGTGGAATTTTAGCTTTGTGTAGACGCATTCTTAAAAATCATCATAGCCAATTATCGCTAATTCAGTTATTAATTGTTCGTGCGGAAAAATCGAAAGAGATGGAATAAATAGAATGCTAGTGGGTGAGAAGATGATGTCGTGATTAATGAGAATGTATTCATTGTGTCCAGAACATTCTGTCAATTTTGAGTATTAATGTAAGATTACTGTGATTGTTTTCAATTCTTAACTTCTTTGTAAGGTATGGGAGGCTTTAGTTAATGAGGATAATAAACTCGTGATAATATTTCTCCCGGAACAGGAGATCCGATACGATTTTTGATAAGCAAAAAAAAAATTTTTTTTTAAGGTTTGTGATTGACGTTTAATGAATAGGTGGTTTAGGGAAGAGTCAATAATAATAATTTCAACCTAATCAGGAATTTCGTAATATTTACCGTAATATGATAAACACATCGATCAGATTAACAAATACTCTCTAAAATGTTATGGTGTGAGCTCGCGTTTTTTTTTGATAGCGATAGGATCTGTTGGGGTGATAGTTTGAGAATATTATTTTGAAAACTCGCAAGCTGCCAAATTACTCGTTTTGTTAATGTGACGTTTGATGATAATAAAAAAAGATAAGAAATTTGGCGCGAAATTATATTGAAAACTTTGTGAATTGATATTTAATTGGTGTAAAAAACATTTATGTGTGACGGTTTATCGTGAGAGTATGCTGGTGAGCTTTTGACAGGTAACCAGCCAGACTGCTTGATTTTCTCCATATTGATCCTTATTTCCTGATTAAAGTAATTTGGCTCTTAATTTTTTTTCTTCGGAATTAATATATGTATGCATATATAAATAAAAACGATAAAATAAAATGCTTTTGTTCATTAGGGAAAAAAGGTCTTGGTAAAGTTAGGTTAGTTTACGAGTTTGGAGAAATACAAAGCATAAACGGTCGATACTTTTTTAACAAACTTATTTCTAAATAAAGAAAACGCGTATCAAAAATATCCGAAAAGTAAATAAATAGTAGTGTAAATCATCAAAAATGAATCGAAAACAATTATTGTACACATCTTTGAAATGCGGGAACAATATTATTTATTTACACAAAATACGTACTATATTTTAAGAAGAGATTAATACAAGAGCAAAGAATCATTTATGCAATGAGAAAAACAGAACAAGGTAACCTTTCTTTGTCATCGAGTTCTCTGAAATGGAAAAACATTTTCATTTTTTTTTGTATCGTATCGGAAACATTTGTTTGTTTTGATATTCTTTCCGTTATTTATTACAAATAAAAATCTCGTTTTTAATACCTAAAGATTAGAATAAATCCATCATCAAATGAAATACATTAATGAAGACGAACGCACAATGAATTTTTATTATAGAAAAGTAGCAAATGAAAAAGCCTTTTTGCTTTTTTGGAGCGTAACTTTATATACGGAAGAAAAAATCATTTTGAATGTCAATGAACGTTATTTCAGGAACTTTGGCTAATGATTTTTAACGATTTAACTGCGCAATTTTTTGAATTGGGGGGAACCTTATACACACAATGTCGTGTATTGTGTTACCAATGTATTTTATCTAAAAATAATAAACGGCAACTGATTTTTATATCATCGATAATGATTAAGTGATTGATTGATTGATTGGCATTACTTTTCCGGAACTACCTTCCCTTCCCTTTCTTAAATCATTCCTACATTTAATTATTTTCGATATATATCTTATCTTAAAATCACCAAACGTTTGCATATGATATCGACAGAAATTCAGATGCTGTTCTCCACATAGGCTCATACATGGTCTTCTAACTATTTTCGTCCCGCACCACATCGGCATCGAGGCTTTCCCATCAGAAATTCCGCAAAATCAGCGAGTCAGCCCAGAGAAGTTAACGTTAGGTGATTTATTTAGAATACGCCCTAATTTTATTGAATTATCAGTTAGTCCCAAATGATATACGGCGAGAGAAAGAGACACAAAGAAGGTGAGATGAGTTGTTAGGCAGGCGGAGAGACAAACAAATAGACAAGCCAAAGTGAGACACGCAACCCGGTAGATTGGCAGTTAATGCATTGCATGTCGCATCTAACATTTATTTAACATCGGGATAACATCATCCCATTATCGGTCATATCCACAAATGAATGCTCGCTACGACGGTTGCACCACACCACCATCACATTCTTATAGGCTCGTCATTATAAAAGAAAGGGAACAACAAAACTCTTTTTGTTCTGCCTGTTTCTTCTGACAAAGCCGCCGGTGTCTTGTGTTATTTTATTTATGTATGTGTGTGTATGAGAGTACGCCATATATAGTTGATCATACAATAAAAATAGCCTGCAAATAGTCTGCACTGCATCATCATCATCACACCCTAATTTTAATAATTTTAATGAGGCGGCGATAACGGGGCGATAAAAAAGTGATCAACAATATAATAAAAAAAAAAAAAAATAGAATGTAATCACATATGATATTCCTATTATATAACAATAATATCATTCAATCAATTAAAGTACTCCACCCCATCATCATTGTCACCTCTCCACTATTTTGTTGACTGTTACCAACCTCTCCCCTTCTCACAGCGCACACAATCACAACTCGGAAAACTTTTTTTCTCAAAGCAAAAAAATTTAATTATACTCCTATAAATTATATAAATATATGCATACACTACCCGCACTCGCTTTCTCAAAACTGTTGCAACCACCATCCAACTCGAGGTGGAAAGATACAAATTACTAACGAAAGAACCCTCGCTCACTAGTTTTTTAATCTACTATAATTGAATCAGTATTCTTTTACGAAAATTTTACTGAACCTTCCATTGTATTACTGCGACTATTACGATTTCATCTTCTCTTTACTTTCATTCATAATAATAAATAACAATGGCGCTTCCAAAATTACTATCGCCAAGATTCTGGTTCGATAAATGTCTAACGCTATTCCTGCAATTAATACTGGCGTTATTATTACAAACACTGTACCTTTTGAAAGGGGAAGATGTTAGAGTAACCGACGTGAAAGTGACCGTTCGTAAATCGTTGCCATCTAAAGGTTCCCGATCAATAGCAAACAGTCCTCTCAAATCAACTAAACAAACCACAGTTAAGCAAAATGGCCTTACGGTTAAGGCAGGTCCAACCACTAATGATAATGATACCACCGCTACCACAATTTCTTCTGCTATCATCGAAGCCACTTCCAATCCCCAAGGAGATTTAAAATGTACCAAGGAAGTTGAAGAAAAGATTATCGGAACCTTGACTGAAGTGAAACCTGCTAATCTTCAAACCGAAATCCTATTAGAGGAGAATAATGTGGCCACGCCTATCACGCCCATTGAAAATGAAGTCGTCGCAAAAGGAAACGAAAGCGAGTCTTCCGAAACAATCTCATCCGAAAAGATCATCTTGGAAGAGGAATCCGCTACCCCCATTGTTGAAGAATCCGCATCAATGGAAGAATCCAAGGAAGAGTCCAAGGAGGAAGCCAAGGAGGAATTTGAAGAGGAATCTAAAGAAGAATCTGCAGCTCTCGAAGATGATTCTGTTCAAAGTAGTAACGTTTCAGAAGCCTCATTGTCACCAATGTCATCGCCTACGTTGTCACCAACCGAGGACACGGAAAAAGTTGCACAATTGGCACCACTTGAAATGAAAACATCACATGAATTCACACTCTCTAGCGATGCCACCACCGCTATTGTTGAATTCCATTGGAAACATGGTGGAACAAACGTATTTGTCACTGGTGATTTCGATAAGTGGCAAGGTAAATATGTCACGTGTTTTTGCAATCACATGACTTTCTCTGTGTGTGATATTAAATTTTGCGTACGTTGTACTATTATTATAGTAACCCATCAAATGCAGAAAGATCCGGTCACTGGACATTTCACCACCAAAATTCCAATTGATATAACAAAACAACAAGCATTCAAGTTTGTAGTCGATGGAAATTGGTGTGTTAACAATGACTGGCCATCAACACGCGATGAACGTAAGAATCAAACTCCCGTTTTATTTTGATTACTGTAGTAAAAGAAATAAAATCTAACAAAGTGTACAACTTCTTGTTACTTTAGATAATAATGAAAATAATGTTATCTACGCTTTTGGATCAGGTCCAATGAGCCCAGAATACAAAGAATACGGTAGGTGTTTGATAGTTACGATAATTATCTTCTTTATAAATTATATTGACCCTGAAATAATAAATCTTCTTATAGTCGTGTCACCATACACTTATGCTGCTGCCGCTTACTAAAATAACGATGCTGCTATGATCGAGACGATAATTTCCTGAAGATCGAGAGTTGATGAAAATTACACGCACTCTTTTTGGCGGGCCAAATTGAAATCACATCGATTTCATGTATATTTCTGAATCTTTTAACTTTTTAATTTGAAAGCATAAAAACAATAATAACAATGGTGAGAGAGAAAACAAATTTTTATTTAATTTTTTCATAACATCATCATCTTTACGTAAATTGAAGTAGCTATAGTCTTTTTGTTTAAACTTTTCTCACCTTGTCTCTCAATTCGTAATTTATGAATCCATCATTTTTGTATTATATTTTTTTTCGTTTTTTTCCTACTCTTTATAATTTCCTCTGTCGGAAAAAATGATCCAACATGCACAAAAAACTTCTCATAACACGTCTTTTTCGGTTTATACGCATATAATGTGTCTCTGCGTGTCGATACCAATAATAACACAAGCTTTAATGGGTGCTTTTTATATTCAGTATCAGCCCTAGAAGCATGCACATTATTATATTAACCACTATTATTTATTATTACTATTGTATTTCCTATTTTACTCCCTCCTAAAGAAAAGAGTAGTTTTTATTGATAATAAAGAAATTTGGTTTTTAAACCGGCTTTTTTTTTTTGCTTTGCTTAACATAATTTATTTCAAACTGTGTATGTATAATTAATATTTTTTTCTCAATAAAGCTTTACGAGATACTCTAAAAAATGAAAATTATGCAATGATAAATATGGAAAATACGCCATCTTTTGTTCGGCGTTTCTAGTGTCAGTTGCGATAGCACCTTGTTTCGTTTCTGATGTTGGGGCGTCATTAGCCTAATTTATCTATGGCGAAAAAATGTTCGGGTATGTGTTTTTAAGAGGTAAACCAATTGAATGGCGTAAGTAATCTATCAACTCGAAATATGTGATAAGTTCCACACTATTTTGAGTTGATAGGATTACTTACACCATAACATTCCGGTTAGAATTAAGGTTAGAATTAGGGCCGGAATTAAGATAGGCTTATATCACACACGAATTTTTTGTAAGTAAAATTTTTGTTAGAACACAGTTTCATAGGAAAAATCTCGAGATACAAAAGCTATTTTTCAACTTTTTTTCGCGGGAAGTCTACGGACAGTACTCAAATTTCCTAATCTGCGGTTCAAATAAGAATACAAACCAAATTTGACTCAAAGAGATGAAAAAGTGATACTACGAGAAATCTGACTATTAAATAAAAATGTCGGGAAGGCAATTTTACCAATACTTTATCCTGACTGATTATCGAATCTCAATATAATACAGATTATTGTGGAGTAAAATTTTGAAAGGAACACTTTTGTTAGGACACAGCGAGTAGTTTCATATGCAAAATTTCAAGAGACAAAATTATATGTAAAATTATCTTAAAAGATAGATTTATGCATCAAATTTCTCGTAGTATCACTTTTTTCATCTCTCAGTCAAATTGGTTTTACAAATTTTCAAAGTATAAAATAATATTATTATATCATTCTCATCCGCATTATATTCAAGATTGATCTCTGGACCAGTTCAAAAAAAATATTGTCCAAATATTTGCTTAATTAAATTACTAATAAACTTTTATTCAAACTATTCAAAATTATTCAAGAATTAATTCTGATTATATTATATTTGCTAATTATATTGAATATTCTTGTGCTTTTCTTTTTTTGACTTCTTACTATTAAATATTTCTAAATATAATAATTGAATTTCTATTATCAAAAATAAAATATATTTTTTAAAAATATTTAGCTAAAGTTTTGATTAATTTCAAGCAAATATAAGAATACTTAAATAATATAATTATAGTTTATATAAACTATAATTATATTACTTAATTTAAATTATAACTATCTCAAGAATAATATGTGAATTGTAAAGATTTGTACAGATTAATAAAGTGAAGATTCAGAAGATAACTCCAATTACAGTTGAACTTGCTGATGGCAAAAAATTACAGTTACTATCATAATCAAACTTTAAATTTTCAAGTAAATTATAATTAATTATAATTAAAATTTATAAATTATAAGTATATAATAAAAAAATATTATTTTATTTAAAATCTTATTTTTATTTAATAAATATATTAATTTTATTAAATTTCTAAAAACTCAAGTTATTTAATTAATAATAATTATAAAAATTTATATATATTTAAAAGATATAAATAGTTATATATATAGTTATTATAATTTATTTTCATAAATTTTTTTATTAAATATTTTTGATTTATTTTTTTTAAATAAATCTATAAATTTTATAATAAAAAAATATAATTTTTAAAAAGAATCATAGTAATAAATATATTAATATTAATATTTTTAAAAATTAATTAAAAAAATAAATAATTTTTTTCATATATCTCTTTAATTTTTTTCTTTATTTTTTTATTTTCATATTATTATTCTTGAAATTTTAATATATATAATACAGATCACTTAAAGACTTGAATAATTTTAAAAGATAATAGAACAAGATATAGAAATAAAAAAAAATAAAACTATTATTTTAAAGTCAAATTGATTTATTATAAATTATCAGCTTTTTTTTTAAAAAAAAATTATTTTTTTATAATATATTTTGATTTAAAAATAGGTAAATTTAATAGTATTTAATAGTAATTGAAGTTAAATAGAATATATAATTATAATATATAATATATTAATAGATTAATTAAATAATAATATATGTAAATCTAATTTTATTAATCAAGAATAAAATTATTTTATTAGCTATTTTTTTATCACATAATAATATTTAATATTATTATAATTATATACTTCTAAATAAAGTATAACATGATTTAAGAAAATGGCTCAAAAATTATAATAATAAATAAAAATTGAAGAGTATTGGAAAGATGAAGTTAATGAAATGAAATTTAGAATATTTATTTTAATATTAGTTTAGATAACTAAATCATCAAAATATTAAGAGTATTTGATAATTTGTAATGATATTAATATTTTGCTATAGGATCTCTTTAATTAAAAGTCTATTAAGAACTTTAATAGTGAATTTACTAAAATCTTCTTTCTAATTTTAAATATTCTTTTCAGATAAGAGTGATATTCTTGACTTATATTCCTTCTTTAAAGATTTTAATATTTCTGACTTTAGAAATCAAATTTATTATGAGATAAGAAACTTTTTTAAATCTATATCATTAAATTATCTGTAAATTTAAATCCAGGATTTATCAGATATTCAACAAAGAAAATTATAATCTTCTAAGTCTTGATCTTTAATTTTAAACTTATTATTAGTAGTATCACTTGAGGATATTTTAGAGTTATCATTACTATCTTCAGATTGAGTATTTCTTTATCTATAAATAAATTTGATTGATACTCTTTCTTATTCTTCATTTCAGTCAAAGATCATTATATTCTTCTTTAAGTTAAATTTAACATTGATCTTATTTAATTAGCTTATTCTTATTACAAGATTATAAGTTTGAGTTTCAGTAATATTTACTTCTGCTAGAATTATAATTATATTAATAATGATAAGAAAGTTATTAATTGCTTCTAATGATTATTTGAAATATTTATTAATATCAAATATGAAGATATTTGATTTTTGTTAAATTTTTATTTCAAGTTATTTGAGAAATTCATGACTGATAACACATTCTAATACTTTAGTATCAATAATTAAGTCTATAGGAATCTTGCCAATCTTAACTTTACATTAGGCTGAGATTATTTTGATCTTCTGGATGAATATTATTTTTTGTTTGAGCTTTTTTTATAATTTCTTTCTCATTCCTTTTAATATTTGAATTTTCTGTTTAGATGATATCTTAATAAGCTGTATAATGATAATATTGGCTTTTTATAATACCAAATCTTTAAATATATTATAAGTTTCTGCTTTCTTTATTAAGATTAAAAGATAGACTTTTTCTTTCTTTTATTTCTTTTTTTCTAGATTGGTCTTATCTTCTTCTGATACTTCTGATAAAGTTTGAATGACTTCATTTTCTTTTTCACTTTCTTTTTCTTTTTTAATAATTCTAGCTTATTTTCTTTCTCTAATTAAATAATTATAAGTTATTAATAATGAGAAACTAGATTAGATAAATGTATCACTTGAAGAACTATTAGTAGTTACTTATAATACTGCTATTAAATTCTGAATTTGGATGAGAAGAGAAGTAGTATCCAGATTTTGTAAATTATTAAGTTACTAATTATTACTTTAAATATTCTGATTTTACTAATTACTATTATTACTATTATTATTTTGATTTTAATTATTTTAATTTCATAAGATATTTTGATTATTAGATTATAAATTTATAGATTAAAAGTTATTTGAACATACTTTACTAATATATTCTTTTTCTTTATGACTATAACAAGTAATAGTAAATCTGTTATTTAGCTAATTTTGTTGTTGATTATTATTATTATTATTATTATTATTTGTATAGCTTCAGTGTAGTCTTATCTCTCGTCTACATTAGTTCTATTATGTAAATACATGTTGAAAGATGATAGATCGGAGATCATCCATATTACATTAAAAATATAAGATGCGACTAGTCACCATGGACCTGTCTAAGACTAAACTGATTCAAATGGAAAAATAAATTTACAAGGTTTAATTTGCAAACTAAAGACTTTTTGGGTTAATTCATTGATTTTTTTTGATGTGAGAGCTTGATTTGGGCATTGCTGATTTTGATGTTGATCATTTGGGAAATCACATGTGCAAAGAAAAGGATCTGACCATATCTTGGAGATAGTTTGATATGGTTGTGTCATGGAAACACCCTTGGGTCG